TTATTCGGCCACCTTTCTTTTAATATCGATGTATTTCTTCAAAACCTCATTACGATTGTCCGCGATGAACATTTGACATAGAAACTTAATCGCCTGGTCGTCGGACTTAAAATCAAATTCGTCTTTGACTTGATTCAATAGTGCCCGAGTATCCTCGTATACATTAGCTACTTTTCGTTCCATAGATTTCACCTCTTCAATTTATGAAATCATTATATCAATATTTGAAATCAAAATAAAGATTTATTATTCCTTATTTTTGCATTATACTGGAAGCGTGATAAAGAACAGGAGGGGTCATTTGTTAAATTACATTTTAGAGTTTATTGAGCGAAACCAGGATAGTGTCATCATAGTTATTCTTGTAGCAGCCGTTCAGTTATACATTGCAAATCGGTTTCAAAAAAAATTAGAATCCCATAAAGGTGATGTGAACAGAGAGATCGAGGGTGTTAAACACAAGCAACAAAAAGCACTAAAAGAATTTGATTTATATTCCACTAAACGGTATCAGATCTACCCTGAACTCTATAAGGAGGTCGATCATGCCTATAGAGAAATGATTGGTTTGAGGGGAGTGTTTCATGCTGTAGATTTACGGCAATTTGATGAGTCAGAAATTGAGGAGTATTTAAGAAGCCATGACTTTAATAACAAAGATGTTCTACGAATTAAAACTTTGTTCAATGTTAGAAAGGACGAAGCCATCGACTTAATACGCTCAAAATTACAAGAACAGAAATATTATAGGGCAGGGGAAATCCATGCAAAGGCGCTGGACTTTTTCAAAATTAATGAACTTTTCTTAACCGATGAGATCGCAACAGTTACCCATAACTTATTACAAAAGATGTACGAGTATTGGATAGATTTACATCCTGACTATAGATTTGACTTAGACATTCGTAAACAAGCTCAAGATATAAGAGAAAACTTACCGGATTTGCTTGATGAATTTAAAAATATGCTGAAGGCTGATCTTCGTAAGGCTTTTTCCGAGTAATCCATAACTTACCGCCTCAATCCTTTATGGCAAACCGCTATAATTGGGTTGAGGTGTTTTTATGTTTATCAGCCCAATGTTATTAGAAACAGCACCGGGACCTTTCTCGCATTCGGAATACATTTTCGAACCGAAGGTAGACGGTCACCGGCTTATATATTCGCAACAGGCCGGCAACATCCGGTTATATACGCGTCACAACAATGATTGTACCCGCCAGTATCCGGAGTTGGTCCTGCCATTTGATGACGATATCATCCTGGACGGCGAGGTCGCTTGTACCGATCCGGAGACTGGTTTAAATGACTTCGAGGCAGTAATGAGTCGGTTCAGCACCAAGCAGTCCAGCAAAATAACGCAGCTCACTCGAATACTGCCAGTCACTTTCGCCATATTCGATATCCTGCAGTACAAGGGTCAGGACCTCCGCAAGCTTCCTCTTATACAGCGCAAATCCATCTTACAGGGACTCTCATTACCCTCCAAAAGCTTTGGGGTTGTACCTCATATAGAAGGCGCAGGAGAGGCCTTGTTCGCTCAAATAGAGGCTATGGGTATGGAGGGTGTGGTTGGTAAGAGGAAAGACAGCCAGTACTCCAGCATCCGATCCAGGGAGTGGCAGAAGGTCATAAACTGGTCTTATGCTGACGTGTTTATCACTGGATATAAAAAGGCTGAGTTTGGATGGCTTGCTGCGGTCCCAGATCCGTCCGGCAAGATGCGTCCTGCAGGTGTGATTGAGCACGGGCCGAATTTGAAGCATAAGCAAGCATTCCGTGGTGTATGTAAGCAGCTTATTACAGGAGAGGACAAGAAGCATGTTTACCTAGAGCCAAGGATCCAAGCGAGGGTTAAAATGAGGAACTGGACCAAATCGGGTCTGTTGAGGATACCGGTATTTACAGAGTTCATTGTTTGAGGTCACAGAAAAGAGCAGGAGGTGTCCCAACCTCACTGCTCATTTTTTTTTAGTCTAGACCCCTAAAAGCTGCGAGAAATTTCGCTGTAATTCATTTTTTAAATCCTTAATCTTACGTAAAATTTCATTGTTTTCTTTGATATCGTTCGTAGGGTCTTCTTTTAATTGCTTAATTATTAAAATATAGTGATAGATTAAAGTTTCTATCGACACTCTAATCTCCTCATTAAAATATACACTGTGTTTCTCGTAATAGTTTGTAAATTCCAGAACATCTGATTCAAGGCTTTTAACTTCTTCAATTCTATCATCTATACTCATCTCTAATTGTTTTCTTCTGTACAATGTTAGCCCAATTCCTAATGATGTCACACATTTGAATAACTCCATTATTATTTCAGAACGATCAGTATGTAATTTACTATTTCTTATTTGATGTAGTTGTAATTCTTGTTGGAGATTTAACTTATATTGCTCAATTGATTTATTTAAATCTGCTTTGTGTGACTCTATATTTTTATTAATCCAATTAGTAACAATCGATTTTGCAAACCAACTAGCCCCTGCAACTATCACTGCAGTTTGTCCTATTTCAGTGATCACTTCAGATACTAATCCCATGGAATCGCCCCTTTATTTTTTTTGAAAATCAACTATGTAATTATTCGTACTCTAAACTCAAGCGTACTCCTTAAATATCTATTGCCCGCGATCCTGATTGCTATCGGACTATAACCCTCGACCACTCCTCCATAATCTATTAGATGATCTTCGTCTTCGATTACATGCCATACCGCTACCCGATCCTGACTTAATGCAGCAGTAAAGAAATCTAAATCCTTCTTTAGCACCCTATATGTATGGTTCATACTATTCACCTCAAACGATATTTCGATATATATCGTCACCAGTCCTGCATTTCAGAAAAATCGCATTAACAATCATTTAAGAAAGTTTTACGATTTATTTAATAATCCTATAAACCATTAGGCTTTTTATAGTTTATAGTTATAGCATGGAACAAAAAGAGAACAGCACCCGACACTAACCAATACCTGTTTGACGGTCTAGAGCCGCAAGGGTAGTACAAGCGGGCATGCTGTTCTTTTTGTTCTCGATGCTTGTCACAGCTGCTTAGGGTCACGCTCAGTGCGTGGTTTAGGTTGTGAGGGGTACAGGGGAATACAGGATTGGCTTAAAAGCCTCGGGCCTGTACAGATGGATGACATGGGGTTAGGCCGTCGAATAAACGACCGTCTTAGTAGCTTTAGGAGGCTTTTGCGAAAAGGCGGTAAATCATGCAGGAGGAAAGGTCGTTCAGTGCTGGACACTGCAACCCTGGTTCGAATCCAGGTTCTTGCTAATAAGCCATGCAAGGTGCGAATCCTTGCTCACATCATACCAAATATGCATGAAGGTAATTTCTCCCTAATGTCGAAATGAGTAGTATCACACCAAGGGAGAGATGCTAGATTGAAGTACAAACGCGACCTTACAACTATTGATGAAATACTTAGCCTTGACCAAGAGGTATTGAAAAATGTCCTTTCAGAAATTGGCTATGATCCTAGTGCAGGTGATTTCTTCTTCATTAAAAGCGCACCTGACAAGACTTATATCATTGAGGATGTTGATCCAGAAAACAGATCAACACTCATTTATAACGGTGGGAAAACAATCGATGTAGATGAAACATTGCCCTTGTTCTCTGCAGGGACATTAATTCAGATTCTGAGTGTTCATCAGACTGTAGACCTCCGAGACATGAAAGGGCATTGGTTGTTGATATTCGATGATCGGAAGATTATTGAGTCTAAAGAGGGAGAACTGCTCGTTACATTCTTGTGGAGAGCACTTCAAATTTTAGTTGCTGAGGGTATTCTGGAATAACTTCATACTGATGGAACTTAAGTCGCCTAATAAAGGCGGCTTTTTTTGTACAAGAATTGTTGAGGAGCTGGCTGCGTTGAAAATGACCAAGGATGATTATTTGTTCTTATGGGTGTTCATTAAGCGCCTTTTATGGATCTCCTTCATGAGTGTAATTTTGATAGTAATAATCACACTGTTGGATCGCAACGGATTGTCATATTTAGATGGCCTTTTAATGTACGGCGCACTCGAATTTTATTTCTATTGGAGGACTAGAATAGTCGCTAACACGATTAGATGATATACGGAGGTGCTTAGCGTGGACGTCATGGTCAATTTCAATGACGAGGTTAAAGTTAAATTAACTGAGGCTGGCATAAACATCCTGAAGCGGGAACATCAACAGAATGCAAAACATTATAATGATCGCGGCTTCACGTATCCTGAATTTGAACTCAAGGTGGATGAAGAAGGTTGGTCTTCCTTTCAATTGTGGCACCTGATGAACTTGTTTGGGAACCATATGTACCCTTCTATGGCGCAACCATTCGGGGCGATGGTAGTAATTCCGAAATCCAAGCCAATAAGCACAGTTAAAATCAAAGGCGTTAAAGTTCCGCTATGTATTAGATGCGGATCACCAACTAAGACAGAGTCAGAAATCTCACCTGGCGATAAGCCAACTGCGAGGATTGTTTGCCGAGAGTGCTACGGTAAATAGTTCTTTTTTTATTGCGCTCCCTTAACTCAACGGTAGAGTCCGGAGAGATCCGGAAAGCGGCGGTTCGATTCCGTCAGGGAGCTTACAGGATGTAAATGACAGGAAGGGAGTGATGCCATATTCATTTGACGTAAGGCCCAACAACACGACGCTGCTGAACAGGGGAAATAAATAATAGGAGGGATTAGAAGTGTATGTTCAAGGACACCCGGAAGGGGAAGCAGTAAAAATAACCAGTGATCCTAAGGATCCATTAGTAATTGCTTTAGCTGAGGCGCTGAAACTTGTTGGTGTTGATATTCAAGGTGTTAAGATGATCAATTCAAATGAATCACTTCCGGTAAGATGGGTTGATGAACAGGGCAACCCAGTAAACCCTGGTACTGGTGGAGGCGGAACGAGCGAGTCTGACCCAGTTGACATCATTGACCTTTTATCAGGCACAGCAGTGAGAGACGCAACAGCAAAAACAATAAGTCTACCTGATCTGAAGAAATACAAAAGGTATGTAATCCAAGTGCTGAACGGAACTGATCAGGACGTTAAGGTGGTTCCATGGAATACAGCTCCAGTTGTATTCGAAGACGGCACAACAGGTTATTTTGCAACCAGCGCTTCTACTGACGAAGTATACAGTTGGACCGTGCCGAAAAAAGATGCTAATAGCAGCGGTTTATATTTTCTCAACATGATGGAACCTAAGTCGAATGGTGCGGGAACCAAGAAGGTGAAAGAACCTGCAAGGTTATTTGAAACCATGTACAGTGTCAGCGGTGTAACGATGATGCTGGCCTATAAAGCCGTCACTGCTCCGACCGCCGGTTCTCTCACAATTAGGTTTATTGGATTCAAACGATAGGCGGTGGCAGAATGAGGGATTTAACCCCAAAGCGCTCACTGAAACCAAGACGGAATTTAAATCCAGGCCGCAACTTAAACTGGGATTACAAAATCAAACGTTCTGACCCAAATTACCGGGAGAATGGTACATGGCTTTCAAGCTCGTTGACCGGATTCGAAGGTGATTCAACAGTGTATTCCATCACTGGCGGTGACACGGTAGAGTGGAGCAGATATTCAACTAAGACAGGTAACTACAACGTATATGTCTGGTATCCGCAAGGACCAAACACCGAGCAAACAGAATATACAGCAACTTCATTAGGTGGTACTTGGCAACGATATATTGACCAAACAAAAAATACAAACAAGTGGGTCAAGATATGCACAATCAGCGCAGTTGCTAATACGGTCATGTCGGTCACTCTGAAAGTGTTGAAAGGTAACACGCGGGCTGGACAGGTAAGGTTTGAGTATACAGAGGACAAGGCTGATTCTCTTGGTTCTAGTGTTATTGACACTGAGACAATCGGTATATTCATGAACCAATCCGGATTCGATGCCTTGAAATCCAAAAGAGCGACAGTTACAAACGTACCGGACGGAACCACATTTGAAGTTAAAGCTAAAGCTGACGACAAGGTGGTATTCAGCGGAAAGGTAAAAGGGCAAATTGCAGATTTCACTTCGTTCCAGATGCCTGGAGAATACTACCTTGAATGTCCTGGAGTAAAATACCCGTTTACATTCAGCATCGGAAAGTATTGGACTCAGCGGGTTTCTGTAGGGCCGGCACTCCGGTTTATGGATCAGTCACGCAGTGACGTTTTTCTCACTGGTTCTAATGGTGTTGCCTGGCGTGATAGTCATCAGTTTTCCTTTGAGTTGGAAAGCTTGACGCAACAATACCAGGCTAACCCAAGCATGTACGACCGGATGCCATTGGGCATAAGTAACCTGGCAACAAGCCAATACCCAGAGTTTAGAACACAGACTGAGCCTGACATCATCTGGCTCATGAAATTCGCTGTTCAACGTTATTGGGATCTTTGGAAGAACCAAGGCAAAAAGCATCATGCTCTGATCAAAGCGCAGCTCCCGTACTTCTTACATCTTTACCCGGATATTAAGCAACATGTGAGCGAGGAGTTTTACACCAAGATCCGAGACTTTGCTATCGCTGTATGGGCTGAACCTGAGTCTAATTACCATTGGTATGAAACTGCAGCATTCCACACGTTGACCACAAACAATAACCTACTGGAAGTCCAACCGAACATCGGAGGGATCAAAGGTGAAAAACCACCAGGGTATGCAATCCGGCCTAACTTGCTGATGTACGAGGTTTGCAAACGTGATGGTATAGCTGACTACATGAAGTACCAGACAGCTGCAGTGGAAAATGCTAAATGGTTGGTTAATTCGGTTAACTTGGATGATCCAGCGATGACTAAGGGTCAACGAATGAGCGAGTACGTAACCATTCAAGGTCTGGCTTTCATGTTGGAACAATACCCAGCACTTGCTCCGAAAGGAACACTGGAGAAAATCAATCGCTGGGTTGACGTTATGATTGCGCGCTCGAATAACCTTTGGGATTTGCGTAAATACGCTGACCCTAAAGACGGAACTGGTGCTGAGCTTGATCAGTGGACCGGCGGATTGATCCAATACAATGAGCCAGGTAACCTGACGGGATTCTTATCCATAGCCTATGCTGCTGCAAGAGTAATTACCGACCAAGCCAAGAAAACACGAATTAAAGAAATCGGTATTGCTCAATTAGATAATGCTTTTGGTCGAAATCCATTCAACAGACATTTCAGCTATGACGGACCGAGAGAAATTGAGGGTGTCGATCAGGGATGGCCTACATTTTATGTTGGCGGTGCTGGCGTGCTTCAAGATGTTGTTGGTGTAATCGATGGATCTCCAAAAGAATCAGCCTACCCGTTTAACCCTAAAGCTCCAGCAGGATATACAGAGGGTTGGGTTGCATTCAATACAGCGTGGAATTCATCCCTTGCATATCATGCCGCTGATGAAACAGAGATCAACGCTACACGATCAGGATCGACCGTTACAGTAACTTTGAGGGCTGCACTTAACGTGGACAGTACCAAAGCTGAAACAGGCCAGGTAAATGTCGTGACAAGCGGAGGAGCATCGTCTAAATTGACGGTTACTGAGAACAGTCTGGATGATTATTTGTTCAGTGGAACGTACACAGTACCGGCAGGCGTAACATGGGTTGAATTCTCGTATGGATATGGGATGTTTCGAAAGTCTGTTCGAGTTACAACAGGGTAAAACTATTGCCTGAAAAGCCGCTGGAGGTGACGGCGAAGTAGGGCATGCCCAACAATAATTAGAGAGGCGGTTTTATTTTGGAGAACAAAGAAGAGTATGTGAACATTGACCTAGATGAAATGGCGAAATTCATTCACGAACAGACAGGCATAGAGAAAGAAACGATCGATGTTGTCTTGGTTGCGGAAACAGAGTATTACAAAACAATCGGACTTATCACAGAAACTGATGATGAGGAAGCCGGGCTTTAATGCCTGGTTTTCCTGACAAAGTTGATGCAGTCACTGACCAGCAATGATACAATAGTCCCAAACACTGGAAGGGGTGAAGGGCGTGGAGAGTGTTGGACGTACCTGCACTAAATGTGGTTCGAACAGAGTTAAGCAGCAGAGCAAGCTATTCTATTTCTTATTCTTACTTGGCGGCGGCGGTATCTTACTATGGTTAGGTTTCATATTTCCTTTCCTGTTTGTAGTTTCTATTGCCATGATCGTGTTGGCACCACTTAGCTTTATGTTTCCGAAGATGTACCAATGTAACGAATGTAACCACGTTTGGAAAGAGAAACAACCGAGTAGAAACTATACATAGGTCGCCCATCGAGGCGGCTTTTTTCATGCAAATCTTTATGCATGATATACAACGATATGCAACATTCCTGAATGATAGTGGTGGAGAATCGTACCCCATAAAATAACGTACCAAAATATACTTTGTGGTGGAGAGTTATACCCCATTAGTGGTGGAGAGTTATACCCCCAAGAAAGAAAAAAGAAATAAAAGAATAAAAGATATAAAGATATATATAAGAAACATTCAACTGAATATCCAAACCATGCATAAACACTCGTATAAAGAACGGGTGTTTTTTTATTGCTCAAATAAGGGAAGGTGATTTATTTGAATAGAGGACATCAACCGAAAGGAACAACTCCTATAGGACCACCACCAAAAGGAGGGAGCAGTGTTAAGAAAGTAAATCGATGCAATGAAAGGAGAGAGTGCATATGTCCTTACCAACATTGTGTAACGAAGGGTGCAACCAACAGTTCACGGTAGATGGATTTGAGATAGAGAAGCTGAACGATGGAGTAGAGAAAACATACTTCGAATGTCCACACTGCAAACACAGGTATGTTGCTTACTACACTGACCCAGAGATACGGAAGATGCAGACAAACATCAGGAACCTGCAGGGCAGCAACCAAACATCTAAAGGAATGAAGTTGATAGAGAAGAATAAGCGGCTGATGGATGAGCTGAGGAAGAGAACGGAGGGAGAATGACTATGCTTTGGATAATCCTGTACTTGGTTGTTGGATGGGTATGTTCGACTTATACAATAGTCCCTCATGCCAGAGTGGTAATGGAAGACGTACACACCCCTGACTATCCGATAGGTGCAGTGATTATTGTTGTAATTATATTGTCTATACTCCTTGCTCCATTCTGGCCCATGTTCATAGGTGCACGTATAGCAAAGATCATGAGGAAGAGAGGTGTACAGCAAAGTGATTAAACCAACAGTACAAGCTCCGCCAGGGATAATCGATGATCAAAAGATGAGCTGGCTTAAACGTAATGGTGTAAAGCCGATCACCCTTCAAGTGATCAGAGAAGCTGTGCGTACACACGAAGGTGCGAAGCAGCTGGGACAAGAACGGATAGTCGGAGCATTCCAACTATACCGAAAATATAATGGTGACTTCATGTTCTACACTCATAAGTACTTTGAAGAGACTCCGCTCCAGGAGCTTAAGCGAAAGCGCCGGTTGAATCTGTACATGTTTGTATTCCCTATAACTATAGGACGCATATGCCTCAGCATTGAACGCCTGTTCGAAAGGAGAGTGAAACCTAATGGAAGATCGGCGAAAGGGTTTGACCATTGACGTAAGTATCACAGATACAGAGGTGTTCAAGGGTTTCGTAGGAGTAGTGTCCAAGATCATAATGGATAAGCGTATGGACGTTGGTCTTAAGCGTGATGCAATGCAATGGCTTTGGGATATCGGATGTTATGATACTGCGCTTGCTGTTGAGTCGGTGCCAAAAAACGATTATCAACAACCTGAACAGATTGTGATCCTTTGTGAAACTATCTCCTTAGGTAAATCAATGTGGCAACACCGTAAACATAGATACAATCCTCATGCACGACTAACGTTTCTTGGTAAGGATAATCGAACAATCGTTGATGGTCTAAGACCGGACAAGGTTATTCGATTGAGAGGATGGGAAGAAAGCAAAGGCGCGTTTATGAATTGGTTAACACTTGATGGTGAGAAGCCTGAGGTTATTGATGAGACAGGTGAATGCCAATGATTAAACCAATGTCACAACAGGCGAAAGAACAAGATGGGTATAGACCACCATTCACCATGTTTGATGAGATGACCGCAGACATGATGGGTAAGTATCGCCCTGCATTCACCGCTAAAGCTATAACCAAGACATTCATCGTTGATGATGTTTTATATAAAGACGGAGAACGTTTGGAGTATGGGGAACAGATAGAACCATTGGACGACCAGACTATGAGTGTTGTTCAGCGCATTCAGAGAGAGGTCGATAAAGCCACACCACATGACATGAAAGAGTGGCAGCAACGATACGAAGAGCTGGGTCGCAGTTTCGCAACACCTATGTCCTCTTGTGATGACGGATGAAAAAGAAAGTAAATCCTTTTTACAAATCAACTGCGTGGTTGAAATGCAGACTTCTGATCCTTGAGCGAGACCATTACCTTTGTCAGCCCTGCTTGAGAGCAGAGAGAATAACCACAGCCAACACAGTCCATCACATCAAGCCGCTGGAGGACTTCCCAGACCTTGCTCTAAGCGATGACAACCTTGAGAGCATCTGTCCTACCTGTCACAACCAAGAACACCCTGAGAAGGGCAGGAGGAATCCTGAGAAGGCAAAGAAGAGACGGGCGACGGTCATGAAGAGTCCGGCGAACCCTATTGAATTTTGACGCACCCTCTCAGACGAACTAGAAGGGTGTTTTAAGGCGTTGTAATTTCGGGATTAAAATGGGAGAGGAAAAGCTAGACGAGGCCCCCCTGCCCTCGAAAATTCGTCGAGAGGCGATTCGGGACCGGTGTGGGACCTTCGTTTTCGGCGCGGACAAAAAAATCTATTACGAGGGGGGGGTGCAATGAATAATCCGAAATCAAACATCACGCTAAAGGCAGCGAAAGATTTGTTTAACATCCTGGTCGAGGAACTGAGGGTAGACAGTAACCTCTCTCAACGTACGATCATGATCGTAGATAACATCGTTTTGCTGGAACAATTGAAGCAAGAAGCGATTAAAGATGTGAAAAAGCGGGGGAGTATTGAGTTATTCCGCAACGGATCGCAGGAAATGTACCGAGAAAACAAGTCAGTAGACCGAATAATTAAAATAGTTGAACAGCAACGGAAACTTCAAGCGGAGTTAAAATTGACCCCTGCCTCGGATAGAAAGGTAGCTGCGGTTGTTGAGACGAAAGAGGGAAGTGATGAGGGCGATGAGCTTGAACGCTTCTAGTAACAAAACAAATGAGCTGAGGTTAGATGAATACGTAATAGGAGTCACCTCGCACGTTATAATTGCATCAAAAAAGGTGTTTTTGGCGTGTGAAAGGCACCTGAATGACCTGAAAAGACAGGGAACTAAGAAGTTTCCTTTTGTTTTTGACGAAGCAAAAGCCTTCCGGCCGATTGATTTCATACAAAGATTCTGCAAGCCGTCCCAGGGTGATTATGACCGGCTGGAGTTACAACCATGGCAACATTTCATCATCGGGTCACTCTACGGATGGGTGCATAAGGATACCGGGCTTCGACGCTTTCGCGAGGGGCTTATTTTTGTTGGAAGAAAAAACGGGAAAACAACCAAAATATCCGGTCTTTCCCTATTCGCTGCTTCAAAAGATGGTGAAAACGGAGCGCGGGTATTCCAATTAGCAAATTCAAAAGAGCAAGCACGTGAATTATTCGATGAATGCAAGGCTATGGTGAACGCTTCTGCTCTATTGAACCGGCATTTTGACATGACATTGCACGAGATTCGTTATGGGCGCACGATGTCCAAGGTTCTACCTCTGGCAACAGACAGTAAGAAGCTGGACGGTAAAAACTGCTCCTTTGGTGTATTCGATGAAATTCACGAGTACAAGAACTACAAACTCATTAACGTAATTAAAAACAGCACAGGATCCCGTCAACAGCCGCTACTCCTTTACATTACAACAGCAGGTTATCAATTGGATGGGCCTTTGATGGATTATTACGACAAAGCGGATCAGGTTTTGGAAGGGTCTTTGACAGACGAAAGAACCTTCTACTACATGGCCGAGCTGGATCCAGACGATGACATTGAAGATACATCCAACTGGATCAAAGCTAATCCCAATCTGGGAGTAACACTGAAGCTTGAAACACTGATCGAGGAATGGGAGTCGCGGAAGCATGTTCCGGCCGAGAGGAATGACTTTATCACAAAACGTCTGAATCGCTTTGTACAATCGGATGAACAATCTTTTATCGACTTCGAGATTATTAAAAAGAACGATAAGGTTATCAACCTCGAAGCACTGAGGGGCATGAGTTGTATTGGTGGTTTCGACTTATCAGAAACAGAGGATTTCACCTCTGCCTGCTTGGAATTCATCCTTCCTAAAGGTGGAGTTTTTGTACTGTCTCACTCGTTTGTTCCAAAGAAGAAAGTCGAACTGGACAACGAAAAATTAGAGTGGAGAGAATTAGAGAAGAAGGGACTTCTGACGATATGTGATGGTGAGTACGTCGACTATAAGTTGGTCTACGACTGGTTCGTGGAGCAATCCAAGTTGTATGCTGTCGAGTTGATCACATATGACAGATCGAATGCGTTCAGACTCGTGGAAGAACTAAAAGCGTTTGGCTTTGAAACACTGATGGTCAGACAGGGATGGGAATCGCTCAATCAAGGTATGAAGGATATCAAAGAACTTTTGTTGGACGGTAACGTGGTTTTCAACAAAAATGGGTTGTTTAGGTGGTATATGAACAACGTCAAGTTAATCAAAGACCGGAATAATAACTGGATGCCTACCAAACAAGGTCGCTACCGTAAAATTGACGGTTTTGCGGCCTTTTTGAATGCCCACACAGAGGTGATGAAACGTATGGTTACCCCTGTTGGTAGTGGAGATATCCAGTTCATGTCCATAAACGACTTATAAACCTGAGAGGATGATATGTGTGGCAGGCAAAACAGTAACTAAAGCGCAAGTTGATGAGATTTTAAACAACTCAGAATTCGAGGTGTTCCACAAAGTTTTTGGCAAGCAATGTCTCGTTGTAGCTAAGCTGCCGAATGGTTTCACAGTAGTTGGTGAGTCCGCTTGTGTAGATGCGAGCAATTATGACGAAGAAATTGGCTTTAATATAGTTAAATCTCGCATTGAAAATCGGATTTGGGAGCTGGAAGGTTACAAATTACAAAACTCACTCTCTTAACGTAAGAATAGAAGCCAGGAAGGGGGTGAGAATTTGAAATGGCATCAACGATTAAGAGGTGCAGTCGGTGGAGCTATCAAGGCGGCGGCAGCGGGATGGAAAGGCGCGGGTTTTGACTTTTCTTCATGGGCTGGTCGAACCTTTTGGGGCATCGACAACAGTAAATTAGCGTCAAATGAAACGATCTTCAGCGTCATTACCCGACAAGCCAACATAATGTCCGCTTTGCCGCTCAAGTTGTACAAAGAGTACGACGTTCTTAACGATCATGCAGCGGCAGACTTGTTGATCAACAGTCCTAACCAGAACATGGGCGGATCGGAGATGATCAACAAGTTGGAAGTGGATAGAAATGAGTTTGGTAATGGTTATGCCATTATTGAGCGTGACATTCGGCAGCAACCTGTTTCGATAACGCCGATAGAATCAACGGCAGTTACACCAGTGATCAACTCCGATGACAGCAGTTTGTGGTACGAGGTGAGGGGTGTAAGGGGGACCTACTACGTCCACAACATGGACATGATCCATGTAAAACATATAACCGGAGCATCAAGGTGGAAAGGGATAAGTCCGTTGGATGTTCTCAAGAACACTCTTTTGTACGATAAGGCCGTTCAAGAGTTCAGTTTGTCGGAGATGGAGAAAAAGGATAGCTTCATCCTGTCATACGGGGCAAACGTGGATGATGAGAAGCGAAAACGGATTGTCAGCGACTTCAAGCGATTCTATAACGAAAACGGCGGCATCTTGTTCCAAGAACCAGGTGTCACTATTGACGAGATTGATAAAAAATATTTCTCATCCGATACGTTGGCATCCGAGCGAATTACTCGCTCAAGGGTAGCCAACGTTTTTAATGTCCCAGTAACGTTCCTAAACGACAACGAGGGCCAGAGTTATGCATCCAATGAGCAGATGATGATCCAGTATGTGCAGATGAAATTGACTCCAGATGTGCGCCAGTACGAGCAGGAATTCAACCGAAAACTGCTGCGGCCAGAGGAACGCAAGAAGGGGATGTATTTCAAGCTCAACATGGGTGGATTGTTACGAGGTGACACGGCGTCCAGAACTGCATTTTACAACGTAATGCTTCGAAGCTCGGGGATGAAACCGGATGAAGTACGTAGGCTTGAAGATTTGCCCCCAGAGGGCGGGATGGCAGACAAGCTTTGGATAAGTGGGGACCTGTACCCGGTCGATATGGACCCTACACTCCGGAAATCTTCCGGGGCGAGTACTACAACGAAAGGGGGTGAGTAAAAGAATGAGCGAGAAGCCTAAAAAGTATTGGGATTTTAAAGCCGCTGCTGATGGTGTGGGTGAGTTGTACATCTATGGTGACATTGTTTCATGGATCTGGGATGACTACCCCGAAGACACCAGCGCAACAAGTTTCAAGCGTGACTTGGATGCTTTGGGGGATATAAAAACCCTTAAACTCTACATCAATTCACCTGGTGGGTCCGTGTTTGAAGGGGTTGCCATTTATAACATCCTTAAACGTCATACGGCGCGCGTTATTGTCACCATTGATGGTCTGGCAGCTTCAATTGCTTCTGTCATTGCAATGGCAGGAGACGAAGTGCGTATGCCGCGCAATGCGATGATGATGATTCATAATCCATGGACGCATACATGGGGCAATGCATCTGAGCTCCGCAAAGCAGCGGACGACCTTGATCGCATTGGTGGCTCCATGAAAGAGAGTTATCTCGCCAAGGCAGTCGACAAAATCACGTCGGACAAACTCACCGAACTGCTTGATGCCGAAACCTGGCTATCTGCGCAAGAGTGCTTTGATTTTGGACTATGTGATGTAATTGAAGAGGCGAATCAAACGGCAGCATCGGTAAGCCAAGAGCTGTTTGCCAAGTACCGTAACGTGCCGAAGGACATCGCCGCAAAATTGGAAGAACCGGAAACGCCGCAGGCAAGTGGAAGCGACGAAGAAACCACAGCTTATCTCCAGCGGATCAAAGATACAGCTGGACTGGAATTAGAAAATATTAACTCATACCTGGGAGGTATTATTAATGGCTAAAACACTTTTTGATGTAAAGAACGATCTGGTAACAATCGGTGCGTCGCTTGCCGCTACTAAGCAGGATATTCTTGCAAAAGCATCTCAACCTGACGCATCCATTGATGACATCAAAGCTCTTGAGACAAAAGCTGCTAACCTGCAAGCTCGCTTTGATATCCTGCAAAAAGAGCACGATCAAATGGAGGCAGACCAAAAGGCGTCATTGGATCGTAGTCGGGGGCCGGTTGATAATGCAGGTGATCCTAAAGCACAGGTGACAGCTGCCAAAGCTTCATTGGTGCGTGCTACAATTCGCGGTGAGCGTGTAACAGATGATGTTAAGGCTGCTTTGGGTGATGGTAACGGTACAGGTGGAGACAAGATCCTTCCGTCTACAATGACAACCGAGCTCCTTCATGAGCCATTTGTCAGAAATCCACTTCGCGACGTATCTACGTTCACTAGCGTGACGAATCTCGAAATTCCTAAAATCACGTTCGAACTGGATGATGACGACTTTATTGCTGACACTGAGACAGCAAATGAGTTAAAAGCTACAGGTGATGTGGTTTCCTTTGGTCGTCACAAGTTCAAAGTGTTTGCACCGATTTCTGAAACAATTTTGGCAGCTACTGATACAAACCTAGTTCAAACGGTGGATAACGCACTAAGTAGCGGTTTGGCAGCTAAAGAGAAAAAGGTTGCTTTCACTTCCACACCTAAAGCTGGAGAGGAACATATGTCATTCTACCGTACTGTTGATCCGATCACTGTAGTACCCGGTGCTTCCAAGTATATCGCTATCAAAAAAGCGATTGCAGATCTGCATGAGGATTACCGCGAAAATGCCTCGATCGTTATGGCTTACACAGACTACATGGAGATCATCGAATTGCTTTCCAATGGTACAACTAACCTGTACACTGCTCAACCTGAGCAAATTTTGGGTAAGCCGGTTGAATTCTGTGATGCAGCTGTCGATCCGGTTGTTGGTGACTTCCGATACTCTCACTTCAACTATGACCCAGAAATCATCTACGATCGTGACAAAAACGTCCGGACTGGTATCTGGGATTTCGTCTTGACTGCATGGGTTGACCACCAGATCAAACTGAAATCTGCTTTCCGTATTGCAAAAAAGTCCTAACCCCAACCGCTACACTTGAGCCAACAGGTCAAGAGGGAGAGAATAACGGCATCATGTATGCTGAATTCGAGCTGTTGGATAAGGACGGGGTTAAAGTATCCCTTGCAGCGGATAACGTCGAGTACATCAAGCAGGACGGAGCAGCCTTGACGCCAGACGATCAGGGGACACTCTGGTTCAACGTTGTCAAGCCTGCGGGACAATATGTATTCGAAGTGAAGACGAAGGCGGGAGAGGAATACCTGGCAATATTGGATTGGGAACCGGACCCTATGCCGTAAGGCAGGAAAGGGGTATTTGTCATGCTCGAATTACCGCTTGAAACACTAAAAAAATACTTGCGGGTGGATGGGAGTGAGGATGATGAGATCCTCACTCTTTTAATTGATGCATCAAAGGAGTATCTAAAAGGATCCGGAGTGAGCGAGTCAAACACCGCACTCTATAAACTAGCGGTCATGATGCATGTTGCTCTTAATTATGAGAACCGGAACCCGGCAATCAAGATTGAGAGCATCAACTTTGCTCTGCAATCAATCATTCTACAAATCAAGGATTGGGGTGTAACAGATGAAATATCTCGTTGAAACCACTTTTCGAGACAAAGAAACACTGAAACGTTACCTGAAAGGCGACACATTTGAGTCGACTGACAAGGATCGAATTGAGACTCTTCAGTCTGGCGGGTATTTGGGAAAGGCCATTGAGGAAAAAGCAAAAGGTGGGCGTGGTCGATCTTCTGGAAAAGGTAAATCGGATGATCCGGGTGGTGATGTGAATGAATCCAGCAAAGCTGAACCGAAGGATACTTCTGCAGAAGAAGAGTAACGGTGAAGAGGACGAATCTGGATACCCTACAAGCCCAGATGACGAGTGGGAAGATGTTATGACTGTCTACGCATCCAGAGAGCCGCTGAGAGGGCGTGAGTTCTTTGCGGCGGCTGCTGCAAATGCAGAGTTGACACTCAGATACAAGATTCGCTACAGGGAAGGTATTACGCCTGATATGCGATTCAAAGACCTGAACAACGAGCGTATCTGCAATATCACTGCGGTACTGGATGATCCCTACGGAGACAGGACGGAAACTCACCTAATGGCTTTGGAAGAACGCACGAATGCTTAAGAGGGGTATTCGTGTGAAAGGGTGTGATTGCTATTTTGATTGATCTTGAGCCAGTCGTTCTCTCTGCGCATCGCAGTGATACGGAGTTGATCACATTACTGGGACGCGACAATAAGGGCAATGCAAAAGTTTACCCGCTTGCTGCTCCAGACATCGCTCTTCCGTATGTAACCTTTTTTGAGTTAACCAACTTCCCTAATAATTTCGCAGGGGATAAAGAATGGAGCAGTTCAATTCATTTTCAAATCGATGTCTTTCACAACAGTAATACTTCAAGAATCTCCAGCGCAGTCAATCGCATTATGGAGTCTTTGGGCTTCACACGAAGTGGTACGAACAGTCTCTATGAGCCTGACACAAAGATATATCACAAGGTTTTGAGATACAAAAAAACACAGATAGGGAGTTGATTTATGTGGCAGTAACAGGTACCGCTGTTCCAGTTGGTCTGCAGGACATTTATTACGCGAAATTGACAAAAGACGATGCTACAGGTGTGGAATATGGAACGCCGATTGCTTTAGCGCCTGCAATCACAGCAAATGTAACACCTACCGTTGAATCGGCTACGCTTCATGGCAATGACGGTCCAATTGTAACGGCAAATGCACTTAGTGAAATTGAGGTGGAGATCGGGGTCGCAAACCTTGATTTGGAGCAGCAAGCAGATTTGCTGGGCTCTACTCTCACTGAAGATGGATTGCTGTGGGATAACTCAGATGACCAAGCTCCGGAGGTCGCCCTTGGTTTCCGGCGTTCAATGTCTGACGGTAGCTTTGTGTACACTTGGCTGCTCAAAGGAAAATTCGCATTGCCAGCGGAGGAAGCAACCACTAAACAGGGAGAGATTGAGTTCCAGACACCGACAATTACAGGTACGTTCCTCAAACGTGCCTTTGATGGGGAATGGAGAGTAAGAGCAGACAGCCGAAATGCTGGTAGTGCTGCCGCTATTGCATCTTGGTTCACGGCGGTACCAGCCTCCCCAAAGGCTTAACGCCTCCACCTGTTGTACCTGATCCGCCACCTTCAGGTGGGGGCGAGGAAGAGACGGGCTAATGGCTGGTAGGGTTGAACTTCAGGGTGTAGATCAGATGATTTCAGCGATACGCCAAAAGCTTGGAGAAGGCGCTAAAAAAATGGAGAACGAGACGTTGAGATCTGGCGGTGAAATATTTGCTGCTGCTCAAAGAGATTCCGTTGCTGTAAGTGATATCAATCATCTCCACATCAAAGATGATATTAAAGTCAGCTCCGTCCGATCTAAGGACGGGGATAAATATGTTGCTATCGGACCTGGTAAGGCTACCGGTTGGAGGGCTCACTTTCTGGAATTTGGCACATCAAAAATGCCTGCCCAGCCATTTATCTATCCATCATTCCATGAGCAAAAAGCACGAGTTGCTGCGTTCATGGCGTCAGAATTTAGAAAAGCATTGAGCTAGTAGGAGAGGGGACAATCCCTCTCTTTTTTTATGCTCAATTCACTACGAGGAGGAATTATCGTGGCTAATGATATCCGTGTTGTAAATGTCCCTATCACTCTGGATAAACCGAGAAATATCGTATTTGACCTGAACGCTTTTATTGAGCTGGAAGAGATCTACGGGAGTCAACAAGAGGCTGTTAAAGCGATTCAAACGAAGGGGCTAAAGCATATTCGCGCCTGGCTCTGGGCTGGATTAGTGCATGAGGACAAAACACTTACACAAGAACAGGTCGGGAGCTTGTTTTCGTACTCCGATCCAGAGGTTATTTTGGAAATTTCGGACAAAATCCTGCGTGCTGCAACGGGAAATCTACCAGACGCAAAAAACTAACTCCCCAGTCCTCTGGAAACGCAGGTGAGGAAAACGCCGGATGGGACTGGGCGTGGTTGTATTACTTGGGCACCGTCATCTTGCAAATGCAGGAGACGGTTTTTTGGCGTTGCACTCCAAAAAGGCTTTTTGCGCTTTGGGAAATACACAAACGCGTCAATGGTCTGGAAGAAAAGGATGCAGCTCCGAATGATCCTTCAGGATACATTAATCAATTCATTTAGCGGGGAGGTGAGGTTTTGGCTGAAGAAATAGAAGTTGCTAATCTAGTCACCAAATTAACATTGAGTGATTCAGGTGTTGAGCAGTCTATGGCTCAATTAGGACGTCGAATGAAAGTCGTACAATCAGAATTCGATGCTGCCTCTTCAAAGCTTGCTAGTTTCGGAAGCGCTGAGGAACAATTACGAAGCAAGGCAGAAGGCCTGAACAAGCAAATGGAAGTTCAGGGGCAGCGCATTATGCAACTCAAGCAGCGCCATGAAGAGGCGGCGCGCGCCAAAGGGACCGATGCAAAAGAAACGCAGAATCTTGAGGCGAGACTGAACAAGGCTGTTGCTCAATACAACAATATGAGCAACGCACTCAAAAGCACGGAGGCAGACCTCGCTAAGCAAACCTCTGTATGGAATAAGCTATCTAGTGCAATTGAAACTGCTGCCCAGAGGATGGAAAACGCAGGACGGGCGATGACTAATGCAGGTCAGAGCTTGTCGATGATGATAACTGCTCCAGCGGCAGCTGTCAGTGGTTTAGCAACAAAAGCGTCCATTGATTATGAAACAGCGTTTGCGGGCGTGCGCAAGACGGTAGACGCGACGGAAGAGGAGCTACAGAAGTTTTCTCAAGGCATAAGGGATATGGCTCAAGAGATTCCAGCAGCTGCTACATCTATTGCTAGTGTAGCCGAAGCTGCCGGCCAGTTGGGCATTAAGAATGAGGCCCTTATGTCTTTTACGCGGACCATGACCGATCTTGGTGTTGCTACAAACATGACCAGTGAACAAGCGGCCACTGACCTCGCCCGTCTTGCGAACATCACGCAGATGCCACAAAAAAACTTTGACCGCTTAGGCTCAACCGTCGTTGGTCTAGGTAATAACCTAGCTACAACCGAGAGTGAAATTATTGCCATGTCACTCAGACTGGCAGCGGCTGGTAACCAGGTCAATATGACAGAGGCTCAGATTTTAGCATTAGGCGGATCTCTATCATCCCTCGGGCTTGAAGCTGAAGGCGGAGGTTCTGCTTTTTCAAGAGTGTTTATAGAAATGGCTAATGCTGTTGCTACAGGCGGGAAGAGTTTGAATAACTTTGCCCTTGTTTCAGGCAAGAGCGCGAAGGACTTTCAACAGGCATTTAAAGCTGATGCGGCTAGTGCGGTAGTGGATTTCGTGGAGGGTCTCGGCCGGATGTCAGAAGCGGGTGAGAACACGTTTGCTGTCCTGGATGCTCTGGGATTGTCTGAGATAGTTGTCCGGGATGCTCTGCTTCGTGCATCTGGGGCAGGGGATTTGCTTCGCGAGAGCTTGGAGCTAGGTACGCGGGCGTGGGAAGAGAACACAGCGTTAACAAATGAGGCTACAACGAGATACGAAACCACTGCATCTCAAATGCAAATACTGAAAAACCAAATCACAGATGCAGCAATAACGTTGGGTGATGCACTCGTGCCAGCATTAATTGCTGCATTCCAAGCGGTCCAGCCGTTAATTGAGGCAATGACTAGAGGGGCAGAAACATTCGCGAGTTTTGATCAGTCAACTCAAACAACGATAATTACCGTTGCTGCAGTAGCCGCCGCTCTTGGTCCAGTACTATTGATTGTTGGGCAACTTACAATAGCAATAACAGCACTTATACCTGTAGTTAAGGGTCTGGGAACAGCATTGATGTTTCTAAGCACGAACCCGATCGTTCTGGCGCTCACTGCGATAGCTGCAGGGGCTGCTTTAATCACTACGAGTATTAACAGTGCCAAGCAAGCTACACAGGAGCTACAGGCTGCACAGGAGTCGTTACAAGCAGTTCAGCAAAACGGGATTGACCGGACAGAGGTGGAGGCGACACAAGAAAAGATCGACAAGCTTAACGAGCTGGCTGACACCTATCAACGAGTAGTGGATACAGCTTCTCAATCAAGTTCAGCGCAGATGGGAAACAACATGACTGCGCTATTTGGCGCGGCCGAAGAACTGGATATTAAACTCGAGGACCTGGAAGACACTGCCCGTGAGTTTGGCATCACTTTGGAGTACGTTTCGGACACAGGAAAGCTGACCACTAAGTCTATGAAAGAGATCAAGGCTGCAGCGGATACCTACACTACTGCTATAAAGAATGCTCAAAGGGCTACGACGACAGAGATTAATGAAATGGCTCGTGCTGTTGCTGTCCGTAATCAGCAAATAACCAGTACTGAAAATGTGCTGAAATCATACCTTAACGCCAAAAAAGGCTCCCAAGAGTGGGCCTCTTCTCAGAAAGCTCTAATTGATCAGTTCCCACAGTTTGCGACGGCAACAGGGATTAACACTGAAGCTGTAAAGGGCTTGCTGCTTGTAAAACGTCAGGAGATTGAAGAGGAATGGCGGAGTATCCAGATCAAAGCACAGGAAGCCCGTCAAGAGAAGTTAACAGCTATTGCGAAGCAAGAAGCTGCTATTGCTATTGCTGAAGGTATTCAAAGAATTACTGGAGCAAGTGGACTGGCAGAGGTGGCTCTCAATCGGATGAATGCTGAGCTTACTCGCTTACGTGGGGAAGCAGCATCCCTTCAGGCGTTGCTCGACATGAAACCAGGAGACATCAAATTACCACCTATCACAGCGGCTCCTGCAGCAGCGAGTGCAGCAAATTTGGATTTGCCAACTCCTAAAACTAAAACAAGTAAACCTAAAAAAGAAAAGAAAGAAGCCGAGAAAGCATACGAAAATGCGGCCTTGGATGCTGCATACAAACAAATGGAGCATAAAAAGAAGATGGACCAGCTCACATTGGAGAGCGAGCTAAAAACGTTGGAAACCATCCGCTCCAAGTATGTTAAGACTGCAGATGAACGCATGGAGATTGAAGAGCGTATCTATGCAGTGAAAAAAGAGCTTGGCGACAAATCACTCGAGAAGGCCCTGAAGGATTACGATCGGTCCAAAGAACTTGGAAAACTCAATGAGAACGATGAAATCAATCGATTGAAGCGTATCAAGAAACTATACGCTGACTCAGCGGAGGAACGGGAACGAATTGATGACATGATCTTTGAGGCTACTCAGAGAAAAATTGAGAAAGAAAAGGAAGTTCGCAAAGAGGCTACGGAGTATACAAGTAAAATGCTCAGGGCGGCTTATGAGGACCGGCTGGCGCGAGAAGAGCTGACAGCAGAGGAAAAGTACAAGCTTGAAGATAAACTGATGAACGATCAAATCTGGCTCAACAAGAACTATCTTGAGAAAGTCCTCAAAGATGACCGATACACAGCAGCTGAGAAAAAACAAATTGAGCGAGAGGTCACAGAGGCTATCCGGACACAAACCAACGATCGTCTAAATCTTGCGCGCAGCTATGCTGCTGAACAGAAAAAGTTAATTGAGGACCAGAAGAAAACTCAGATTGAAGGCATAAACAACCTCTCCAAAGGCATTCAAGATGCTCTTAAGGCGAAGTATGCCGAAGAGAAGAGAATTGAAGAGGAAGGAATTAAAGAATCCATCAGCGCTAATGAGGCATGGAAAACGAATCAGCTGGATGCCATTAAAACCGTCTATAACGCACGTGTAGAGGCCGCTCAGAAAGCAGCTGACGCAGAGATTGAGCGGATCAACAGCGTGGTCAATGCTCAGATTGAGGCTATACAGGCGCAGCTTGATGCTTTTAATGAGGCGGAGAAACAACGTAGTCGTGCTGAGTTGGACGCAGAGGATCAGAAAAAGATTGATCGTCTCAATGGCATGATTGAGTATGAACATGATGATTTCAACCGTGCCCAGCTTCAAAAGGAATTGAACAAGGTCATCGCTGATCAAAATGAGCGGCACCGGCAGGAACAGCTCCAGGACACAAAGGATGCATTGACGGCAGAACAGCAGTCCTTAAGAGAGAAACTTGCTCAAGAAACCCAAGCCATCAGAGATCAGTTGGCACAAAAAAAAGAGCTTATGCAGGCTGATTATGAAGCTGATGTAGCGAGAATAACGGCACTTTACGAGACACAAAAGGCTGCTCTCAATGCTCAATTGGCTGAGACGCAGGCAACGTACAACAAGATGCTCGATGCCAAGGCAATCCAGGCAGAAGCTGAAAAGATGATTGTCCAGAATCAGCAAGAGGACATCATTAAACTGCTCGATGGTTTCGGAGATGCGTACAATGTAACTGGTCAAACTCTTGGCGAGAAGATGTACGAAGGCTTTGCGGAGAAAGTAAATCAGATCCAGTCACTTATTTCATCAATCAATTCTCAAATCGATGCTGCACGTAGTTCTGCGGTATCTGCTCTTAACACGATCAGTGCAGCAGGGGCTGCGGCATCTGCTGCAACCGGTGGAACAACATCATCGAGCGGCAGTACTGAGACGAGACAAGCGGTCAAAGTTGAAGTCGTTAACAACTTTAATACAAAAGTTACATCACCGAGCGACATTGCTCGTGCTACAACTCAAGCTGCTCAAAAACTGGCTTACTAGGAGGTGCCGAATGGAAAAGGTCACATTTACAAATACGCGTGGTGAGAGCCTGGTACTCGGCACCTCAAAACCGTTTTATCTTGAAAGGATAGAAGGTACTGGTGGCGTTCCTGGCAATTTGCTATCTTCACAATCGCCGTATCAAGATGGTTCTTCATTTGTGGAGATGCGCCTGGCAGACAGGCCAATTGTGGTCGTGGGTGGGATTATTGCAAACTCTCGACAGCAAATGTATCAGTACCGCAGGGACTTTATGCGCATTCTAAATCCCAAACTAGGATTGGGAAAGTTGGTTTACACCAACTCTGCACGAAGTTACGCGATCCAAGCTGTTACGGAAAATACACCTGAGTTCGATGACCGAATAGTAAATAACCAGCCATTCAAAATAAACTTTATTTGTCCGGACCCATACTTTACCGACGAGACCCAGATATCGAAAGGATTGCGTTTTGAATCTGGAGGTCTTACGTTCCCATTACGCTTGCCGACTCAATTTGCATACAGCGCCTACCGTGGACTATTTCAAAATGACGGTGACGTTGAGACTCCGGTTGAGATCCATTACAAAGGGCCAGCACTCAATCCAGTGGTCATAAACGAGACTACTGGCGAGTTTATTCAGGTCAATTATGATCTGGGTGAGAACGATGTTTTGGTAATAAATACAGCCTTTGGTCAGAAGAGAGTTGAGGTTGTCAACACTGATGGGACAAGAACAAACGTCTTTCACTGGATTGATTTGGGCAGTACCTTCTTTCAACTCCAGCCAGGCCGTAATATGTTGCGATACGATAGTGACCGTGAAGGTGACCGATCTGTAGCGACAGTAACGGTGTATTGGTATAACAGATACGGGGGTGGTTGATGTGAGAGTACCTTCAGTCCGGGTCATTGATCGCAATTTCAACTTACTTGGCGAGATTGATGACTATGAAAGCTTGCAGTTCATTCGGAGATTTTACAGGGCCGGAGAGTTTGAACTGCATATCGCTTTGCACAAGCAACATACAGATAAACTGCAGAAAGAGAATGTTATCATCATTGATAATAAAGGACACAAGTCTGGAGTTATCCAGTATAGGGAAATAAGCCAAGACGACAAGGGTATTGAGATATTGATCGTCAAAGGACCATCGCTTGGGGGTGTTTTGGATCGGCGTATCACGGTCACCGACACTTATGATAGAGTCAAAGGCCCAGCTGAGACCGTGATGAAACATTATGTGAATAATCATCTTATTAATGGGGCCAATCCAGACAGGAAAGTGCCCTTTTTTGCTGTAGCAGCTGACTTGAAACGTGGGATGAATACGCCGTGGCAAAGTCGCTTTGAACCTTTGAATGGAGTCGTTCAGGGGGTCGCAGAATGGTGTGATATTGGTTGGTTAGTTTCCCTTGACTACTCGGCACGGAAATGGGTGTTTGATGTATTGGAGGGACGGAACCTTACAGCAGGCCAGTCGGCAAGACCGCCAGTTATTTTCTCGCATGAGTTTGACAACATTGAATCTCAATCTTTCATCGATTCCGATCAACAGTACAAGAACATCGGTTACGCAGGCGGCAAGGGAGAGTATGAGGAGCGACTGATTCAGATGGTTGGATCCGGTACCGGTTTGGATAGACGAGAGGTATTTTTGGATTGTTCCAGCGCAGAGGATGCTGCTGAACTGGTGGACATGGGCAATCAGAAACTGGCTGAACAAAAACGGCTGCTCACTTTTGACGGCAAGATACTGGACACACGAAGTTTTGTGTTCGAGAAAGATTGGGACCTGGGGGACATTGTAACAGTGCAAAACAAAAAATGGGGTCTCACACTTGACAGCCGAATCACTGAGGTCAAAGAGATATATGAACCAGTGTCCAAGATTGAAATATCGCTTGGGGATGAGATCCCGACAATTACCCAATATGTCAAGCAGCTTAAAACAGATGTAAAAAGGAGTGGATGATATGCCTCAAAAGTCAGGATTTTTTGATACAACTGCAGACGACCCACGGGACTATCCTGCCCGGGAGTTTGCTGAGTACTTCGCTCGATTCGTGGGTAACGGAATTTTCAGCGGGGGCACTAAGTTAAAGGTGAGTGCAACCGGCACGAACGCCAACGTTAAAATTGAAACTGGTTTCGGCTGGATTAATGGTTACCTTTACAGTGTCTATGACGAGGCTCTGACGCTTACTGTACAGCCTGCCACGAATGCCGATAGAATTGATAGGGTAATCCTTCGTCTGGACACAAGCACGCCTGTAAGGGCCATCAGAGCGCTGATACTCCAAGGCAACCCTGCAGCGTCTCCTACTGTACCGGCTATTACACGGTCAGGAGACATTTACGACCTTAGTTTGGCTCAGATCCTGGTAAAAGCCAATACTTCGGTTGTATTGCCCGAAAACATCACTGATGAACGGCTGAACAGCGCGGTGTGTGGGGTCGTAACCGGATTAATTCAACAAGCGGATACTACAGCGATATTCAATCAATTCCAGGCATGGCTCAACACTAAAACGGTTGAATACGCGGCAGAATGGAGAGCGTTTCTGGAGTCCGTGCAAGATGAAGGCTTTGCTACAACTCAGTACGTAGATAATCGGGTCCTGACGGGTGGTTACGGGGCGACAACCAATAGTGCCAACGCGTACTCAGTCACATTGGTCCCTGCTCCCACGGCGCTTGTAGCTGGTTTGAGGGCGACAATCAGAATTAACGCAGCGAACACCGGAGCGGCTACTCTGAATGTGAATGGGCTTGGTGCAAGAAACATATTGAAATCAAACGGTACTGCCTTGACGTCCGGATTCTTGAAAGTTAACTCAGTGTATTCGGTTGTTTACAACGGAACGGCTTTTATCTTACAGGGTGAAGGGGGGGAGTATGGAACGGCCGTTGCTAGTGATGTATTAGTAGGCAAAACAATTGGTACTGAATCCGGATTGATAAGCGGGGCAATGCCAAATCGCAGTGCAGAAAGTGCGCATCAACTTGCTTTGAGTACAGAGGTTTGGCTTGCGGATCGAGCGTTTTTGCGACCGCCGAATGGATATTACGATGGTCAATCGTGGCTTTACGCACTTACACCTGATTTGCACCCTACCAATATACGCAGTGGGAAAAACATCCTGGGGGTCGCGGGTTCTTTGATTGAGGGAAAACAATACTATGAAGCTAATCTTGGAACTATTGCTGCATCCGGATATCTCGCGTTCAACACTGGATTCGTACCAAGGATTATAACTATAAACGCAAGTACTGAATCTGGAGCAACGACGACGGATTTTGTATATGAAGTAAGGCCTAATGGAGGACAGTATATATCATTAGGTAATGGCGGATTTATGTCATTAAGGAATGCTAGTGGTGGAACTATTTCGAATTCTGAAATAGGAACTATAACCTCTTTCAGAGTAGTTAATTCGCAGACAGCAGCATGGTTTAACATCACTGTCAGAGCTTGGTCTTAAGGAGGGTGGGCGTAATATGATCATTGTAGGTAGAACGGTATTTGTCGATATGAAAACTGGTGCTGTGTTATTTAATACAGGTGAAATTCAAACAACAAATCCTGATTTCGAATCACAAATCGATTACTATGCGACTATAACTGCGCTATCAGAACGAAATAAAAAAGATATCAAAGAGTACAAGTTTGCTATTGGAGATTATGAACAAGATTTTAACGAAGGAATTTTAGATCGTATTGATATTGAAACAGGTCAATTGTTTTTTTATTATCCCGATCCAGACGATTCTGAGACGCCTCTAGATCCGCAACCTGCATTGAGTAAACAGATTGAAGCATTGGCGCAGGAAAACACGCTCCTGAAGGCACAGAGTAACGCTTTGTCAGAACGAGCGGACTTTGTAGAGGATGTAATCGCTGAAATGGCAACTCAAGTATACAAATGATTAGGCGGTTTATCATTTGGCTTCTCCTGAAAGGAGGTGACGAGACTATGATGGCTATGTTTTTTGCCCAACGGGTTATCCTGAATAAGACAGAATACAAAGCAGTGCCTGCATCGTTGCAGGACGGAGTGAAAGAAATTTTAATAGACAGCGGTCTGGAATTCCTAATCGTTGAGTAACAAGCGTTCCTAATATGGAGCGCTATTTTTATGCCCTCTGGAGTGGTCAGGGGGCTTTTGTTATACCCAAAAAAAGAGACGAGGGGGGGGAGAAGACGTGAACGAGAGGGTGAGTGAGGTGCCAGATGAAAATTCAAAGTTGCTTGTAGACATTCAGATTCAACTTGCTCGAATTGAAAAGACTCTGGAGGTAGTGCCAACACTGGCGGCTGCAGTAGAGACAGTCCGCGAAATCGCCCGTAATGCAGACCAATCTTCGAAGTCTGCCCACCATCGTGTGGATATGCTTCAGTCTGCAAAGGAAATCGCTGACGATGCTCTCCGAAAAGCAGAGGCAGCCTTGGCTACTCAAAGGGCTCAGGCTGAGGACCAGAAGTGGTTTAAACGGACTTTTTATGGCGCGGTCATTGTTGGTATTGCCGGAGGCATTGTGGCAGCGGTATGGGCTGCAATCAAGTTGGGAGGCGTAGCGTAGCATGAATCTATTTGAAGGATTTCGTCTGACCAGTCCGTTCGGCTGGCGTATTCATCCCGTGTACAAGACACGCAAATATCATAAAGGCGTTGACCTTGTTGTGAGCCCGTCTAACGGCCCCTTGTACGCTTTTGTGGGTGGCGAGGTCTTACACGCTAAGATGGGCGTTACAGGCTCAGGATTCGGCGGCTACGGGATCACAGTGGCTATCAGAGACGATAGAGGTTATCTGCACGTTTACGCTCATTTATCGTCTGCGTCCGTTTCTGTCGGTCAGCGAGTAAAGCAGGGAGAGAAGGTAGGTCACCAGGGCAGCACCGGAGTTAGTACTGGAGCGCATTTGCACTATGAGATCCGAAAGAAATCCAGCCCATCATTTGGCTTTACCGTCGATGAGTCAGGTGTGGTGGAGCCTACGCAGTACTTGATTAATTATTACGGGCAGCAGCCTGCAGTGGATAAGGGGGATGAGCCAATGACGGCGGAGGAAAAGAAGCGGGTTGAGGATCTGGAAGCCACATCAAAAGCGCAGGCAGAATGGATCAAGGCTGAAAAGGCGAAGGCGAACATGCCTTGTCCTGACTGGGCTAAAACAGCCTATGAGCATTACAAGGATTATATCGCTGACGAGACAGGCAGTTACGAGTTCTGGCGGTTGCTTGTCATTAACTACCGCAAGGAAAAAGGAATCAAAGTACAGGGAGCTGAGAAGTGATGGAGAATCAAACACTTGAAGCTGTATTGACGTTTGCCTCAGTACTTGCAGTGTTCGTGTTGGCAGGGGTACAGTTCGTGAAGAAGACAGTTAACATTCCTTCGAACATTGTGCCAGTAGTGGGGCTTGTGCTCGGTCTTCTGATTGGCACAGCAGCTTATCCATTTACCACATTGGACCTAACGCTGCGGCTTTGGGCTGGTGGTCTGGCTGGATTATCGGCAACGGGCTTGTTTGAGTTGGCTTTTAGTAAACGGCCAGGCAATACCAGAGATTTACATGAATAAGTCAATATACAGGGGCAAAAGAAAAAGTCACTCGTTGAGTGACTTATCTTCCCTGCCCCATTTCAGCCTCATATCTCTCCATTAGTAGTTTATTAGTTATCCAGTTAACCGTCAGATCAATGAGGATTTTAAGGTCGCTTAAATCTTTGTTTTCCCATTTCCTTATGTAATGTGTCTCGTCGTTACCTAACCATGTTGCTTTTTGAGCACAAGTTTTTATGTCATGGTCACTGATTCCATTTATACAAGGTCCTAATAGTTTCCCCTTAATCTCTACTTCTCTATCGGGTTCGAGGTGTATTAAGTAATCCTTAATTAGGAACTCTAGCGCTTTACGGTATCCTGCACCGCAAATTTCTGTAAGCTCTCCTAATTCCGCAGCAGCGGCTTGGTTGTATATTTTAATGAAATTGGGAGACAAGTCCATAATTTCTTGTCTAAAACTTCTCTCTTGAAAATGTACTGGATAGGACTTTCGGAACTTATAAATGTAACTTGTCCCACTTTGATTATAATAGTCGGAAATAAACAACTTATTACAACGTTCATTCACGCATTGAAAAACAATTTGCAAATTGAAATATAACCCTGAATTATAAAGATGGCTGGCCACTTCAACAGGGAGTATCTTATAGTGGCATTGAGGGCAATAATCTGGTTTTTGATTATAGCCCACACTCGTTTTATGGTTATGTGGCATAGTGCTTGACACGGTGTCACTCCTTTAAGATCGTTATTTATAATAAGAGTATATTAACAAAACTTGGGACTCACAAGATAATGTTATTTAACAACGCTGTTTGTAACTCTGTGTACATATTTTGGAGTTTAAATTAGAATAGCTGGTAGTGAATACAAGGAGGGTTAATATGACAACTAATACTAAGAGTAAGCCAGCAGTATTACCAGAGGAAGAGACTAAGGAAGAATTAAAAACCTGTTTTATTGTTATGCCTATTTCAAACGCAGATGGGTACGATCCAGGACACTTCAATAGGGTATATGAATACATAATAAAGCCAGCTTGTAAAGCTGCTGGCTTTACGGCATCCAGAGCAGACGATACTAAACATACGAACACAATTATTCTAGATATTTTAAATCAAATCGTGAAGGCTGACATGGTTATCTGTGACTTAAGTTCTAAAAATCCAAATGTTATGTATGAGTTGGGGATTAGACAGGCGTTCAACTTGCCGGTTGTTCTGATTAAGGACATTGCGACTAACCGAGTTTTCGATACATCAGCATTAAGGGATGTAGAATATGATCAAAACTTGAGGATTGATACTGTCAGAATCGCTGTGGAAAACATCACCGAGGCGCTGAAGGAGACTTATAAAAGAAAGGATAGCGATACTCATTCATTAATAAGTTTGTTGAACATTGAAGCCGCTAAGCTACCGGAAAGAAAAGAGATAAGTCCTGACACTGCGCTCATTCTTGATGCAATTAAATCTATGAATAGAAGTGAAGATGTCAGTAAAAAACTTAACTGGGGAAGACATCCGTTGGAGAAAAAAATTATTGAAGAATCTATGAATGCTGCAAAATTGGAAAGAGGTTTCGAACAATTATTTGAAAATAAAAAAGTTTTTATTTTTCACAAAAGATTTGGCGAGGGAGAGGTTGTACACTTTGAATCACAACATCGCATTATTACTGTGAATTTTTATGCTGCAGATGATATCAGGAAGATTGAGTATCCGTACAGTGGTGTAGAGATAGAAGAAATTACAATTTAAGATAGACCACTAAAAAGCTCTATAATAAAAAACCATATGATTGACGCCTTTCCTCTCAATAGCATAGCCCTCTGTACATAAAGATCATGGGCGGCAGATATTTGCGTAATATGTACGAATTTAGAGTACAAAAATAGAGCAGGGTGGATAACATCTCTGCTCTACTTCTAATGTTTATTCAACTAAGGTTTCCTTAGTTATCTCTTGTAAATGCTGTCTAAGACAAAATGCCACAACGTCGCTAACAGCATAGAGATCTCTCATAGGTATATGACTTTTACATCCACTCGTACTATTCAAATCGAGTTGGGGTACTGCGGTTCCCGTGTAAGATTGGTCAGAGAAGAACCTTCCAGCATGTAAATAGACGGATCTATCACTATAGAAATTTTTCACTATATAATCATTTGCTTCGAAATGTTGTACGTATTCCAATACTCTAGAGGAAATTGAATAAATAGGATTACCGCAAACTTCACACTTTTTTTTCTTCTCTACATTTTTATCTGAAGCAACTTCAAGAGCTGACATGTATAGTACAGCTGCTACTTCTTCGTTCGGTAATTGTAGGTTTCTAATTTGTTTAGATATATTTAATTCTTCACTTTTATAGCCAAGCATATGATATTTATGTGCTGAATGAAATAATCTACAGGCATTTAGATATTTGTTAAATCTTTCATCTTCTCCTGCTACAACATTATCAATTAAAAGCTTAGCTTTCATTGATAAAGTGAAATAGTTATTTACTACTGGTCTGCCACTTCCGTACCAGAGATTATTATCAGTTTCAATTTCTTGTACCTTTAACTTTTCACCCTGTTCACCAGATGTAGCATGAAAAAATACGCTTTGAGTCTCTACAGACAGTATGTCTAAAACTTTATTATAGGTTGCTCGTGCTTCAGAACGAATATCAACTTTGTCGAAGCCCAAAATATCTAACTCTAATATGTTTAAAGATTCATTATTTGTAGGCGTAATTCTAAAATTACGACCTGAACAACTACCTATAGGGTGTTCCAATGCTTTAATATAGTATGTAACTCTCATCATATTTAGATGGTTATCAAAGTTCATCGCTTTCTTAATACAATCCTCAACTTTCTTCATTATAGATTCATTTTCTTGTAATTCACTGGATTCTATAGAGATGGCACTTATAGTCCCCTTTTGTTTGTACTTTATAAATATATATAAAGGCTTCTCTAGTGTTTCTGCACTTAGCCACCCGAAATGTATCTCGTTTTTTGAACCGTCTTTAAAAGGAACATAATTCCATCCACCTTCTCCTAAATTAAGTCTGATCTGGCTCCATAATGCCCTTAAAAACATATTCGCCTTATCTTTCCCCATATTTACTGTATACTCCATTTTCAACACCTTCCCAAAATTTTATTTATATTAAGAGTACATATAAAAAATAGTTCAATAAAGATAATATTACACTACAAAACAGCTAATATTGAAGATTCCTAATTTAGCTGTTGTTTTTTCTGTTGAGAAACGAACATGTATTCGCATATAATACAAACAGTCGTTCTTATCCAGGAGGGGTGAACATGCCAGTAAAATACTTGGGTTGGTTAATGGAGATCATATATCAAGATCGGTCAGGGAAGATAACCAAGCGCCGAATTCAGGTGAAAAGTATTCGATCCGGAGTGATTAAGGCAGATGATTTGCTTCAGGTCAGCCGCGTACATTCCGTGAACGGGGCTGCTGGCATGCCATCCAATTAAAGAATCAGCATAGGAGGACCCGAAATGTTAAATGATTATGAACGCAAAGTGCTGAGGATCTTGTATAACTACAGTGGAGTGCGTCGTAGATTCCCTACGATACACGAGTTGACTGTTAAGACCGGAAGAGGAAAAGCAGACATCATGGCGGCTCTGGAAGGTCTTATCAAAGAGAATTACATAACATGGGCAGATAAAACCGACACGGCTAACATCGTTATTCTCGAAGGTTGGGAACGCGAGAGTGAGCACCCCAAACCTCCTTCAGCTCAGAAGCCTGGCCGGTCAGGTGACATTAGTTACTGGACCGAATATTAAGGAGGGACTGCCATGAGAGGGAATTGTATGGTAACGGGCTATTCGAGTCATCGAGAATGATGCTGCCTGAACACAGAGAGGCTTGGTTGGCGCACCGGGAAATGCTGCAGGTCAAAGAAAAACCTATACTTGATGAGCAGGAGTTGCAGCTGATCCACCGTACGCTGATTGACTCCTATAATCAGCGGTTACGGGTGCGAATCAGAGTCTTTGATCCTGTAGAGGATAAGATCTTTGAAGGGATAGTATCGACGGTAAACATATACCTCAAGGAAATTAAGTTGGTCTTTGGAGAAGATTGGAAGTACATAAAAATAGCGGATATCATGTCGGCTAACATTTGAGATTGGCCCCGGGGGAACTCGGGGTTTTTGTTTACGAAATAGGTAAATACTTCTTGCAAAACATACGGCTTTACCGTATATTTATCTCAACATCCAAATGGGAAATTTAAGGAGGAATGGGCAATGACCTTGAATCAGTACCGAGCACTAGCAGAACAGCTGGGAGGAGAGGTCGGGAAGCAGCTCACCGCATTGATTAATGAGCTAGAAGAGTCTAGAAAGATCATTCGTGGGAAGAAATACCCACCACTCTTGGGAAGTAAGGAGGTTGCCGAACAGATAGAAGTTGACCCCAAGAATATGCACCATGTTCGCAAAACAAAGTTGTTCCCGGATCCGGATGTCATGGTTGGAAGCAGGCCGTTCTGGTACAAACCATCAATTGATGAGTACCAGGAGCGATTGGAAGAGTGGCGGAGTAAGGAAAAGCCAGAATAAAGGGGATAAGTTAGATGGAGCTGGTCACGTTTCTCTTGTTTTCGATGCTTGAGATGTTTGGTGCGTTTGTATTCATGATGGTTCTATTCAGAGAAAATCCGATGGAGTATACCTGGCAAGCCGCTGCCATTGCAATATTGATGGGGCTTCAAAGTTACTTCTTACGCGGAATTGATCTCGGGTTCCTAGCGGTTGTAATCAATATTCTTTTTTATGTACTTCTGCTTGCTGCCGTTGTCCGACTTCCACTGATCTGGTCCGCGATCATAGCATGCGCTGGATTCTTCCCTTACGCCTTTGCTCAGGCAGTTCTGTTTGAATTGTTTCAAGGAGAACTTCTACAGTTGATCACAAGCGTTCTGTTCATGGTGTTAGCTTACATACTGTACTCATTCGGGATTGGGTTTGAGGCGAATTACAGTCTCCTGCGGTTCCGATGGGAAAAGATTTTGGTGGTGCTTGTAGTGCTAGGCTCATTTGCACTCACAGCCATCACAATGTACCAAAAAGCAGTATGGATTAACATCATATTCTTTGGAGCGGCGTCAGGATTATTTCTTTACTACGCTATCCGGAAAGAGAGGGAAGAATGATAGAGTCAACAGCTGGAAGGATCGCAAGACATATCAAATCGGTCATTCCAGACCATCCAGTGCATGAAGAGGATATGAGGCATTCACTGATCATAATTATTAATTTTGTTTCAGTCGTTGCACTCACACTTTTGGGCGCATTAATAACAGGTAGGTTAGATGAGGCTGTTATGTTACTCAAATGCTTTGCTTTTCTCAGGTTGTTTTCTGGGGGGCTACATCTTCAAACCAGCATGTGGTGCGCCATCATTACGGCAGGTACTGCAACTGCAGTGTCAATGTTGAGTATTGGTACAGATTGGACTGGCATCCTTACAGTGATCAGTATGCTGATTATATTAATCTATGCACCTTCAGGAATCGAGAACCAGACACGTATACCTGAACGTTTTTACCCGGCTCTGAAAGTTATCTCGTTCCTAATCGTTGCATCAAATCTATGGTTCGGATCGTCTATGGCAGCAATAGCGTTTTTTGTACAGGCTCTGACGTTAGTGATTAATGAACACTATTTCATGAAGGGGGGTGACAAACATGTTTAAAACAGCTATCTATGGTGCAATCGCAACTGGACTCGGAGCAATCGCAGCACTCTCTGTTATGCCAGCGAGCTTGGTTTTTGTTAATAACCCTAAACCATCCAAACGCCTTCTCAAAAAATAATGGAGGATCACATAAATGGAACAAAGAATAACACTTCTGGTTGATCCTAAAGGGAAATCTGGTGTAGTTCCCGTATTGATCACTGACATACTATTCCTTTCCTACATGAGCAAGTATAGGAAGGTTGCTTTTTATACTGCGGATGCCACGTATTATTTTATGGGCAGTAAGGAGCATTGGACAGAGGTTCTTAATAATAGCGGAGGTAACTTCCTGGATGTGGATCGGCACAACTCGGTTAATATCTCAAAAGTGAAAAGAATTGAAGCTAATCCTTATTATGCGTACTTCGAAAAGTTCCGTAGGATAAAAGAATTAAAATGCTCGATGTCTGCGAGAGGTTACAACGATCTATTGAAAGAACTCTCTGTATTCGAAGAGAGACAACATAAACTTGTTCCAGTATACCAATGAAAAGAGGGGTCACCGTCATAATGCGGTGACCCCTCTTTTTTTTACGTTCAGCGTAAAATAGTAACACATCTATCTGCTTTATGTTGTCGAATTGTGGTGTCGATTACGATAAATTCAGACGACCAATTTTAATTTACAAATCTTGTGATATGGGGCAAAATGGGAAATAGGAACAGGATTTCCCATTGACCACACCCCCACTTTACAACGGGGGTAAAGCAAAACCTTCGGGTGGAGCAGTGATTGCTCCGGCCTGTTACGCTAATTCGGCCACTCGTATAAGTCTTCTTCTGCACAACCAAGAACGATGGAAATCCCTCTCATAGTAACGGATGGGATGATTCGCTTGTTGTTCTCATAGAAAGACAATAAGGTGGTGGACACTTTCAATCCGCATATTTCAAGCAACTCCTCAGATAGTCTTTCCTGAGTGTAATCAGCTCTAATGCGGACATCGCGCAACAGGCACTTCCCGAAGGTAAGTGCCATAGGATGACTCCCTTATGTATTCAATTTTTAATCTTGTGTTCGGTTCTTGTTCGTATTTATGTGGTATACTTGACGTAAATTCCAGCACGGTAAATCTTATAAAATTAGGAGTGATACATATGCATCAAATCGATCTAGGTGAATATCTTAAGAAGCTGAAAGAAAAGGGTGTTGATGTTAGTGAAGTCGAAAAACGCCTCGAAGAAATTATTTCTTCCAACGCTTCAGAGTAGCTTCCAAAAGGGCAACAATATCATCTGCATCTTCTTTAGAAAGACTTTGACCTTTATACGATAAAGAATATAAATTTAGCTTTTCAATAGGAATATCACCCAACTCCGATTCCTCATGTGGATCGGGGTTATTTGCGTCTACAAGTTCTGATATTTTTACGTTTAGAGCCTTGGAGATTACTTCAAGTGTTTCAACACTTGGGTTGTAACGATCCCGTTCAATATCAGCTACGTAAGATCTCGAAAGATTCGTTTTTTCTGCCAATTGAACTTGTGTTAATCCGCGTTCTTTTCTCCACTTTTTTATGTTCAGACCTATGGACATTTTAAAATTACCCCCACCAAAAGAGTTTGATTTCTAAAATCATTATAAAGATAAAATGTCGGTAATACAAATACAAAATAGACGGAAAAACCAGTAAATATGCGAATAAAGACGGTAATACAAGTAAATAGCTTGTTTTATCGGCGTTTTGCTCGTTTTTAACAAAATTCTGAGTTTTACCAAAATGACGGTTATACACTACATTATGAGCAGGAGGTGAACACATAACATGGATAAAAAAACTTTGGGCAAGTTGATCCAGAAAACCCGCAAAGAAAAGAAGCTTCGACAGTATGAACTATCCGCATCAACAGGGCTATCACGCAATTACATTTCTGACATTGAGAATGGTCGTTACATGCCAAGTGTTGATTCATTGTCCAAGATTGCCACATGCCTTGAATTTGATCTCAATGTGCTCCGAATGACGGAAATACAAGACAATGAGTTGGTGGCAGGAGGTAATGCAAATTGAACTTCTCAGATGCTTTAATGCACGCAATGAAGAAAATGGGAGTTACAAAGGTTCAGTTAGCCCGTGATACAGGATATCCACAAGGACATATCTCGGATCTGTTCAAGGGGAAACGTCGCTGGAATGAAGAGTCACTTGCACGGGTTTGCTCGGCCTTAGACATCACCATTCAGATAGCACCAACGCAAGTTGACCCGCCACAGCAAATACCTACTACCGATAAAGAGCACTCAAAATTAGTAACTGAGAACAAACACTTGAAAACTCAGGTGAGACACTTGAAGGATGCTCTTAAGTCTTTGGCTGAAGTTTTGGATTAACGGGGGTGATGACCAGTGAACATTCGAACTGAAAACTGGCTTGGGAATCAAATTAGGTTTGTTGAGCTAAACGCTAGTGAATGGTGGGCAGTTGCGGCTGACATTACCTCGGCACTCGGATTAACGCAAGTCACCCGGGCATTGAGTGGCTTAAAAGATGGGGTTACTACAAGTAAGGTCACCGACAAATTGGGTCGTGAACAAGAAATGAATGTGCTGAGTGAGAAGGCAATATACAGACTTGTTTTTAAAAGCAAGCGACCTGAAGCTGAGGCCTTCCAAGACTGGGTGTTCGATATCATCAAGACGCTTCGCCAATCAACAGGCCTCGAAGGCTTTCAAGTCTTTCGGATGCTCGACAAGGATCATCAGAAAGAGGCTATGCAGAAGCTCAGAAAAAGTCTTAAAGATCCGGTACGTGTTGACTTCATCAAGGCGAACACCATTGCGAATAAGGCTGTGTCAAGCAAATACGGACATCCGAAGATGATCAAGAAAGACCAGATGACTCCAGACATGTTGGTGAGTAGACAGGAAATTCTGGAGGATACAGTGGACCTGATAGGAACGACAGAACGATTTGGACTTGAGATTGGAGTATCTGAAACGATCTACAAAAAGCATCTCCATTAAAAGGGGGCACACACACATGTCTATCGCAATTCACCCAGTTCATCGGGAGTTGGCAAAGATCACATTCATGAACACTGACAAGGAAGAAAACTTGATTATCGGTTTACCTGAATTGAAACTGCTGCTCCCGTTACTTAAACAAAACCTTGAACTGGTTTACGAGATTGACGGACTGAAAGAAATTGCCTTTGCTGCTCAGACACTTGATCAGATGGATCTTGTGCAGCATGCATGTGAAAGACTCGACGAACTGGAGGCGCAGCTAACATGATCAAGCGCGGTGATATCTACATGATTGAATACGGAGACGGCGAGGGCAGCGAGCGACAGGGTTATCGCCCTGGGATGGTCATTCAGAACGATGTAGGCAATGAGTATTCACCGACCGTCATAGTTGCAGCAATCACAAATTCTGAAAATAAACGCTTGATGCCCACTCACTTTCCACTTGGAATCAAAGATGGAGTACGTAAACCATCGGTTGTCATGTTTGAGCAAGTCAGAACGATTGACAAGACTCGGTTAGATGACAGGATCGGTTCTCTCACGCCTGAGTTGCTGAAGCAGATTGAGCGACCATTAATGATTAGCCTCGGATTGATAGAGGCACCTAAACCAAGCAGAAGGGGAGGTCGTGTTGCCAGATGAAAACGGAGAAGCAGTTAAAGGACTTATGCATATTCTTTGAATCATTCGAACAACGCATGATAGCAAGCGGACGTCTGCTGGTAGCCCGGTACGCTCGGGGCCAGTATCAGAAGTATAACAGGCTGCTTTTAGTTAAGTGGGAAACGGCATGAACGTAACTAACGCCATGAAAATGTCAATCCGTATCAAAGCCAGTGACGACCCAATAGATTTACAGGCTCTTGAGGAATCGGGAGGCAGATACCTGGATATCAAATATCCCAAGTTTGAGTTTCCGAGTGAAGCCCACCAGATGAAATACAACCGGATTCGTCGTCGCCTGAGAGGAGGTGAGGGGAACAGTGATAGTTAAGTGCGGATGCGGCAAAAAGAATGCAGTGTACGCCGTATATGAATCAGCAAAACCGCATTGCCTAACATGCATGTTGGATGCGGTCAATTGCACCATAGCAATACCAGTTCGCAGACTTGATCCGTGGGAAATGGAAAAAGTCGAAGGACCAAAACAAACAAAAAAAGCCGCCCATTAGAGAGCGGTCCATAACAAAACTATTCGCAATCATCATATCACAGGAAGCGAGGAAAGCAAGTGGCAAAGCATGTGCGCTTAATCGAAACAGAGGTAATCAACTTCACGGAATTACGATCCAAGAAAGTGGAGTACGGGGACATCACTCGCCTGTCAGGCAAGAACGGTCAAGGCAAAACGTCAATCGGAACCGCTCCAGTTTGGACATTTTACGGGACAGATCTGTTCGGCAACAAATACAATCCATCACCAACCAACTATGAATTTGACCGGGTGTTTGCTTCCACAATCCTCCAAGTGGACGGTTTGCCTATCAAGTTCGCCAGGGAGATAAACGAGAAGGGAAGCAACGTATTTTACATCAACGATGTTCCAGCAAAAGCAAAAGAGTTCGAGGCTACAGTAGCTGAACTGTTCGATAAGGATGAATTCCTGTCATTTTACAACCCAATTTACTTTTTCGGTCGGCACTGGACGAAGCAGCGGGAACAGATCATGAAGTACACAACCCCGCCTGCTAAGAAAGAAGTCTTTCAGGAAATGAGTCGTACAGCTCAAGAACAGAAGCCAAAGGAAATAACACTTAACCCTGCTGCCTTGAAACTGGATGAACTGATGAAGAAACACACTCTTGACGATCTCCAGAAAATTCACGGCGGCACTGGGGGCCAGAAATCAAAGCTCGAGAAACAGCACATCGCTGCTCAGAGCCGGACGAAGACGCTACAAGAACAATTGGACCGCTTGCCTGTACTGGATCGGGACATTGAAGAAGTCCGCAAGGAATCAGCCGAGCTGTTAGAACACATTAAAACAATCCAGAAGCCGATTGATGCTGCTGAGGAAGTCAACCGAGAGCTGAATGACTTGAAACTATCTATTGAATCGGCTAAATCCCGGGTAGCATCTGCAAAGGATCGATACATGGAAGCATACAACGAGCCTATCGACGACACTTGCCCAACCTGCAATCGGCTGCTGGATGAAGATTCCGTCAAAGCGGTAACAGACACCAAGGAGAGCAAGAAGAAGCTCCTGCGTGCAGATCATGAAAAGTTGGTCAAAGAGCGTAATGAACTTGAGGCGAAGGAGGCCGAGATACAGCCTATTGACTTGGTGGAACAGTGGAAGCTGCTGAGAGAGGCGGAAGGTAAACGGGATGCTTTAGAGGATTTGTTGGCAGCAGAGAAGCGCCGGAGCACCCTTTCCGCCGAGGTGGCAGCAGCGCAGCAGGCTGAGACAGAAACACTCACAAGCCTGAAAGAATCGATCTTTATCTTGGATGCAATCAAATCCTATAAGGCCAAAGAAGCTGAACTGCAAGCCAGCAAGGTGCAATCTCTCTTCACCAGCCTTTCGATTCGTTTGTTCAAATATGTGAAGTCTAGCGATTCATATGAGCCTGATTTCAGCATCCAAATGAACGGCAAGGATTACCTGGCATTGTCTACTGGCGAACGCATTGAGGCGGGTCTTGAGCTGACAGAAGTGTTGTTCAAACAATCCTCCTTGATCTGCCCAACCTTTATCGACAACATCGAGAGCTACACGGGTCGAGTGGCAGTGTATGACCAACTCATTACAGGTCGAGTGGTTGAAGATCAGGAACTGAAAATAGAAGCGGAGGTAGCGTTGCGATGATTAGAACTGTGCATTTTGCTGGATGGCACTTTCAAGGAAAAGGTGACAACATCATGGTTTTGAGAAAATTGAACAATGAGGGCACTGTTGAACTGGCATTTCCGTTCCTTGAAGATACACCAAATATTGACCTAGGAATAGCAGAGGCAATGGACTTACGGAACTCCCTGAATGATCTGATTGGGCCAGTGCTAACCCTACCAGCTCCGCCAATGGAATTGTTCCCTAAAACACAAATATCAATCTCAGATCAAAGTGCGTTCAGCGCTCTGTTTGATAGATTCCCAAGTGATTCGGAAAAAGATTGTGAAGCACGGAAAGCATTAACTCTTGCTGCGGGAGTTATAGGTTTACCGCTACGGTAGATAAGATAACCTCTTCCTAGCATTGACACTATTGATATAAAAGATACCCGAGGTTCACTGAAAAATAGCATTTCAAATCAACTAAACCATAGGAGGCTACTAGCCCATGTCAAATTCCAATAATCAACTGCAAGCCATTAATGAAGAAGTGGTTGTAGGCAGCTACACACAAAAACACCTGGACACATTGAAATCAACTATTGCCAAAGGTACCAGCAATGAGCAGTTTGCGCTATTCGTTCAGACGTGTGTCAGAACCGGCTTAGATCCGTTCCTAAACCAAATCTTCTGCATCGTCTATAACGGAAAAGATGGCCCTGTAATGAGTATGCAGATTGCAGTTGAGGGAATCGTAGCCCTTGCTAAGAAGCATCCGCAGTATAAAGGGTTTATCGCCTCTGAAATACGGGCTAACGACCACTTCAAAGCTAAGATGCATACGGGTGAAGTTGAGCATGAGCCAGACGTAATGAATCCAGGTGAGACAATCGGTGCTTACTGCATTGCATATAGAGAAGACGCACCAAACATTCTCGTCATAGTTCGGAGAGATCAGATTGAACACTTGGTCAAAGGTCGGAACGGTCAGATGTGGAAGGACTACTTTGACGACATGATCGTTAAGCATGCCATCAAGAGAGCGTTCAAACGTCAATACGGGATTGAAGTATCAGAAGATGAACCGACAGCAGGACCGGTTGAAACTGCACCTTATGAACGTCGGGATATTACCCCAGAGACTCCACCGACTCCAGCTATTACACAGCCTGAAACTACTGACGGTGGTACAGAAGAATCGGAGAAACAAAAACTGAAAGCTGAAATGAAGCAGAAGTATAAACAGCTCGGAATTACTGACAAAGAAGCTATGGGAGCGCACATGCAGGAGTTCTGCAAAACAAAAGGTTCAGAACCGACAATTGCAGAGATCAAGGGCTATCTGAAAATTATGGACCTTCAAATCCAAGCTGCTGCCGATGATCTCCCCGTGTAAGCCATGGTCGAAATATATCGATTAAGCCCGGACTGCCAGGTATGCGGCAGAGAAATAACCGCAGGACGTGAGCAGTACAACAGGGGTCGCAGAGTATGCGATGACTGCAAGACATCACTGGAGGCGATAACCGATGAAAGACGGCAAGCCCGTGCAGCTCGACTTGTTCAGCAGCTTGACCGAACCAAAGGGGCCGCCTCCGGCCCCGGTATTAAACGGCATGTACTACGAAAAGGCCACTGACAAGTTTGTATCCTACATGCTGGGGGAAACGTCATTACGAAGAACCTGCCCGGGGGTGCAAACACCCAAAGAACTGGCAGGAACGAATAAAAAGGGAGCGGAACATATGAAATCCACCAATTGTAAGACATCTAAAATATTATTTTAAGCATTCAGACGATATTGGTTTTGTATCTCGAAAAACCAAGAAATTTACCCTTGGTAATAAATTGAACAAACGCAAGCTGAAAGAAAGATTAGCTGCGGTTGTGATTACTGAAAATCCATACCCTGAACCAGCGACAATTTCTGATGTCTTTTGTCCAAAATGCGGTTGTGAATCAGCTAAACACACAGGAAACATGGCTTCTTATCCAGAGGTTTGGTCTCAGAGTTATTGCATTCGATGTGGATTCCTTTTAGGCGAAGCGGATAATAGTCGCTGGTACAGCGCACTTGAGTTTCCAGAACACAATTATGAGTTGCATTGAGGTGATTATATGAAAGTCGACATCATAGCATCTGGTTCCGGTGGTAACTGTATCGCACTGACATATGAAGGCCGCACGATCCTGATAGACGCAGGCGTTGCCAAAACGAAGATTGCAAGGCGGCTGCTTGAGTGTGGTATCCGACCTGACCAGGTAACAGACATCTTTATCACTCACGCCCACGGCGACCACATTAAAGGGCTTCCGCTGGCGAACCAGTACCGCATCGATGTTTGGGCGACAGACGGAGAATGGAAAGGCATATCCGGTGTAGATGATGGGTTACGTTGGGTTGTTGAAACCAAATTCGGCAAGTACGAATCAATTGACCTGGGCGATATATGGGTCTATCCCTTCAAGACCCATCATGATGCATACGAACCAATTGGATATGCAGTTGAAGCAGATAACGGATCAAGGGCCTGCGTAGTCTTCGATACTGGTAAATACGATCAAGACATGCTCGACATGATGGAGGGCAGCATTTACATCATCATTGAAGCTAATCACGACCCGGACATGGTGGAGGCTTCAAACTATCCCATCAGCGTCCAGTCTCGCATCCTCAGCGACTTGGGACACCTAAGCAACCAACAGACTGCGGAAGCACTCCAAAAGCTTATCAGGGGCAATGGTGAACACATATACCTGACGCACTTATCCAGTAACAATAACAGCCCCATTCTGGCGGAAATGACCGTGAAAGCGGCGCTCCGGCAGAAGGGTTTTATCGCAGGGACACATTATGAAATTGAGGTGGTCAGCACATGAATACAGTTCAAATCAAGATTGTCGCCCAGTACAAAGCCAAAGATAAAACGATGTTTTACACAGATGAAAAATTTATTGCTCGCCGGGTAGGTGCGCACTTTATGGATTACACGACGCCATTCCAAATTATTGACGGTAACCGTTCGGGGCACGAAATCCCTTATAAAAATGCAATCGTTCTGAAAGAAGAAAAGTCCTACACCCAAGAGCAATATGACGAAATCTTGAGTCAACGAAACGAGGCGCTGGAGATGAAAGACGAAGTTATCGCAGTCCTTGCAAAGCACGGACAGACGATCACGGAATTGCAGGATGACAAGATTGCGCTTCTCAACACCATCGAACGTGCTGTCACTCACAACGAGATTCAGGCATTACCCCGTGAGGTAGTGCAGGCGTTGGAATCATTCAAGCGTAACGGTGACGACTTGGATACTGTCATGCGTTGGTTGATTAGTCCTTATCAATGTGATGACGTATGGCTTGATCAAATCGACACTCTGCGTAGGTACTCTATAGAAAACGGATGGAAACTTATTAATGGTATGGTCAACGGATATTTGGTAGAGCCACAACTGGAAGACGCAGCAGGTATTGCAGAAACAGTCCTACAGTGGTGGGAAGAACGTGACATTGATGCCAATGAAAAAGAACTACAGAACCTTGTGGATCGTCTCCAGAATCGCATTGCAGAACGGCAAACAGTACAGTAAGCGGGTGAAGTGAATGGCAGGACCGGAACTTTCCGATGGATTCACCCGAGTGGCACATGAGGTCATTGAAGAGGTTGCCAGGCACAAGTTTAATGGTACACAACTTCGAATTCTCTTGATCGTCTGGCGCCAGACATACGGGTGGCGCCGGAAATCAGCCGAGTTGTCAGCAACCTTTCTTGCTACTGCCTTGCAGAGCGACCTACGGGGTGTAAAGAAGGAACTTAATCACTTGTTGGATATAAAAGTGCTGCTGGTTCACAGACCAGCCAAAGGTAAGTATGGGCGTTATATAGGATTCAATAAATACACGGATCAATGGCTAGTGGGTGACAATAGTCCACCACAAGAAAATAAATCTACTGGTGGACAACTGACCACCTATGAGGTGGGCGATTATACACCGGAAGTGGTGGACAACTGTACACCTAAGAAAGAAAAGAAAGAAAGTATAAAGAAAGATAATAAAAACAATAAAGGAGCTGCTAAAGAAATGGCTTCTAAAACCAAACTGGCTAAGAGTCGTGAAGGCAAGCAAGAGTACGCAGATGAAGTGTGGTTCAAGCCGGAGGAACACGAAAAGATTCTTCAGGAATTCGGGCAAGAAGGACTTACCTGGATGATGGATGTCCTCAGCTCTTATAAACTTTCTAATGATAAATTTTACGCAAGTGATTATGCAGTCTTCAAGAAAGGCGGCTGGCTGCGCATGAAATATGAGAAGCATTTGACCGACCAACATAAATCAAGCGGATATAAGAACCGTGGGCAACAGGCCCAAGATAATTTTGATGACATGAAACAACTTTACTTGGACGAGGTGAGTGGAAATGGAACCAATGCAGCCAATGGGGTCAATAACGATGGGTCAAACAGCCGCATTACTGTCGAGGATCAAATTAGCCTACCCTAATTTCGTTAATGTGGTGCAGAAAGCGCCAAACGGACAAATCGCACATGCACCCACAGCCAACCTTTGGCACCAACGTTTATCAGCTAACAGAGTCACTTTAGAACAGGCACTGCATGCACTCGATAAGCACATTGACTCCAGCCGGTTCGAGCCGACCATCTCAGATATCATCAACAACAAACCGCAATTATCCAATTACGACATTCAACGGATTGAGGCTGAACAGGAACAATTACTGCTTGAGGAATATCACGCAAACAACAATTGTGTACCGATGCCGGATAGCGTTATTGAGATGCTAGAGGCGATTTCAGCTAAGTCGAGAGCAGGTGTCCCAAAGGATGAATGATTACATTGACCCACTTGTTGGCATGAGTTCACCGCACGAGGAAAACTATCTGTACGAGGCTGAGTCGAGTGTCATTGGTTCAATCATGAAAGACAAGGACCTTATGGAGGACTGCCCGTTAACACCGGAAAGCTTTTCTCCTGAATGGAAAAACGGCGTTATCTTCTCGGTGCTGAAATTTGCTCATGAAGAATTTAAAGGCGAGGAAAACCCTTTTGACCTGGTGTTAATGGCAAAGCACTGGGGAACTGAATTGCAGGAGATCGGAGGCATACCCAAACTTTACTCCATCATGAGGTCCGTCCCTACGTCTGGTATGTACAAACATTATGCCCAAGTGGTCAACGAGGCACATGTCGAGAGGGAGATTCAGAAAGTTGCTTTTAAGATGGCAGCAGGCAAGATGACGATTGATCAAGTTAAACAGAAAACAGTCGAGCTTGAGGAACTGCGGGACAGAACAACTACTGACATGAGCAGTGTCAAGATGGGTGACATGATCAAGCAACATGTAAAACTATTGAGAAAAAGAAGAGATGCTAAAGGCGGTATCACCGGATTTAAGAGTTTCAGTCCCAACATGAACAATCTGACGAAGGGGTATCAGCGTGGTGATTTGATCATCGTAGGGGCTAGACCATCAATGGGAAAAACAGCTTGGTTATGTAACGAGGCTTTGGCGATAAGCGAAGACGGCACGGCGGTCCTAATCATTTCCGGGGAAGATGGAGCCATGAACCTCTTGGAGCGTACCATCGCTTCTGCTGGCAGGGTTAAGCTATCACACATGAAATCAGGACAGATGACGGAACCGGATTGGGAAAGGTACACCATGGGCGGGAAGATTGTTGCAGGCAGAAACATTTTCATTGATGACACGCCATCTCCAACAATTGAATCCGTCAAACGAAAATCATTCAAGATGGTTAAGGAATTTCCGCTTATGGCGTTGCTGGTCGACTACTTGCAACACCTGAAATCCGAAAAGTCGTTTGGGAGTGAACGGGAGTTATACAAGTATATCAGTTACGAGATGAAACAAATTGCTCGTAGGTTGGACATCCCGGTTATCTCGCTCGCAGCAGTAAAGCGTGATGTCGACACTAGGCAGGACAAACGACCTCTAATGAGTGACGTTAGGGATTGCGGTAACATCGAGTCTGACGCAGATTTACTTGCTTTCCTGTGCAGGGACGACTATTACAACGCTGATAGTTCCCGCAAGGGGCTAATGGATATCATCATTGCAAAAGGCCGTAATGTGGGCACAGGGACTGTTACAGTGGTGTTCGACAAGCAATATCAATCTTTGCTGGACATGACTGAAGAGGAACGGAAGAAACGTAGGGACAAAGGGTTGTCGGGATCATGAGCAAACGTCTGCTGCGAAACGACAACGAATTCAAAAGGGCTATTGAAAAGATGGTCGAGTTCGACCGGATCATAAGGGACCCTCTTAAAAGTGAAGAGGTCAAAAAGGAATCGACATGGAGACTGAATGCGACGGCTGAATTGGTTCAGGTGTACAGCCGTGGGAAAGAGGTACAAGAGAATCCATCAAGGGCTGCGTATTACGACCAGATGGGGTGGTCATATCAGGACTTCACAACGCCTGCTGAGACAGTTCAAACAGCACCCAAAACAAATACACCGACCGAGACAAAACAGGCTCCAGAACAGCCAATAGAGCCGCCAAAGACGGCATCCAAAGTGTCGTCATGGTTGGATGATTAAGGAGGGGAACGGATGAGATTCATTGGAATAGATCCGGCCACTAAAACGGGATTTGTGGCATTGGATATTGACGGAAATATCCTTGAGCAGGTCGAGCTGCAAGGCAAAGGCCCAACGGTTAGCGGTGGAATTTCAATAGAGAAACTTGTCTCGCTGGAAAATAACTTGTTTCAACGACTCCAGGAGCATGATGAAATTCTAATTGAGCAACCGGCAATGGGTACCCAAAAAGGGGTCACCACAGGAATGATACACGGTGGACTGAGGACGATGATCCACCGCAAAGGGATGACGTTCAACGAGATAAACCCCACAAGCACCAAGAAATATGTTGCGGTTACCGGATGGACTGGTGAGGTCGGAAGCAAAAGGCGTTTGAAGGATAAAGAGAAGAAAGCAGCGGTAGCTGACGCAGCTAAAGAGTTGTTTGGCTTTACTCACAAAAGCGATAACGTGACGGACGCGTACATTATCGCCAGAGCAGCGGTGAACCTCTACCGGATGCGCGAGTATATGTCTCTGCTGGACAACGAGCCTTACCAGAAAGAAGTCATTGAATCGATCCTGAATAAAAAATAACACCCGGGGCTTGTGCGGTCCTGCGGCGGGCAGTCGCGCCCAAAAAACGGAACAGACGTGCTTATTTTAGCCAGAAAGGAGCGAATTCTTTGTGGGTACTCCGATACCAAACCGAAGAATTGAAGCTATGTCATCGGGATCTAGTGAGGTCAGACCGTACAAATTGACTCCTGAAGAACTGGCTGCATTACCTCATACTCCACCAATGAAAAGCAAACGTAAAAAGCAGATCGGACTTGGCAACAGAGACTATGTACCAGGTCAAAAACAGAAGGGCCGCGCTATCGAAACTAAACCTGAAATTAAGTTCACCCCTCGCGGTAAGACAGTCCAGGTGAGCGTTGAACAGGCAAAGGCAATCCTGTTCCTGCTCCAGCCTATAGAGGGCGGTTGGAAAGAGGATGAACTGGTAGGAGAGCATGCAAGGGCTCCGCATGATTGGCGGGATGAAGCTGCGTCGTCGAACGGTATGCCGCTCGGGGATCTGATTAACGCCTTGTACGCAGGCATGAACATTAAGGAGGGATAGCAGTATGGATGATGATCAAAAGCGCCGGACATTCCAAAAGGTGAAAGCCATGTCGAAAGATACATTTTGGTCTTGGATGAATCAACTTCACACCCGGGCTTATGCACTCGGTATTGACCACATGAAGGACGCCATGAGCTGCCAGAAGCGAATCAGCAAACCAATGATCAATCAGGTGTTGCTCAAGGCAGAAGAGATACGGGAATTATGGGACGGTCTGAAGATGGTAACAGTCGATGGGACCGAGGGAACGGAGTACAAGACGGCTGACCAGATAGCACAGGGTTTTGATTCCACGGAAGCAGCTATTTACAAATTGACCGAACCACACATTCTGCACATTGGAGATAAAAAATTCGTTATCCGGCCTGCAACAGAGGCTGAGATTCAGGAGGCTGAAACGGCATGAACATAGCTAAATTGTACGAAATGCAGAAGACGCTTGATGCACGAATTATTGAGGAAAAGAACCTGCAAGGTCAAGACTTGCTCCCGAACACGATCCTTGCGCTTCAGGTGGAGCTGGGCGAAATGTCTAATGAATGGCGCGGGTTTAAACATTGGAGTGATAAGAGAGAGCCAAAGCATGGCTATAAAGCAAAGATTAATTGCACTTCCTGCGGGGGCCGGGGACATTGGTATACCGGAAACAAAGTAGACTGCAACAAATGTGAGACCACCGGGACTATCACTAACCCCTTCCTTGAGGAATACGTCGATTGCTTTCACTTCTTCCTAAGTATCGCCCGGCAGCTCGGCCTGGACGAAAAGGACCTAACAATCATTGATGACTATCTGGAGGGCAGTACAACCAATGTGCTCACACGATTGATTTATCACGCTGGTGGAATTGGCATGAATTACAGCCCATATTCAGGCATTACATCGTACCGGATGGCGTTCAATATGTTCTTTGCTCTCGGACGGCAAAGATTCGGATTCACGCTCGAACAGATCGAGGCGGCTTATCTGGAAAAGAACAAAGTCAACCACGAGCGCCAGGCGAACGGATATTAAACCATCTAAGGGAGGATACACCCCACCGGGGATAACAGAGGAAGGGAGACAAGACACACATGACTGACACGGTAAATATAATTTCGCTTTCGGGCGGTAAAGATAGCACGGCGTTGTGGCTTGAGGCATTAGAACAAGGAGTTGAAGTAGTGCCCGTCTTCGCTGATACAGGGAATGAACATCATCAAACATATGAGTACGTGGAGTACTTGGAACAGCAGCTGGGTCCTATCAGACGGATCAAGGCAGATTTTAGTACCCAGATCGAGCGGAAGAGAGCGTGGGTGGATACAAAGTGGCGTGAGGAAGGGATATCGGAAGAAATTATTCAGCAAGCATTGTCAGTACTTCATCCAACAGGTAATCCATTCTTGGACCTATGCGTCTGGAAAGGCCGATTCCCAAGCACTAAAGCGAGATTCTGCACTGTGGAGTTGAAGGTTCGTCCATTCTTCGATCAAATATATCTTCCTCTGCTGGAAGTAGGTAAGAAGATTGTGAGCTGGCAAGGTGTTCGGGCGCAAGAGAGTTTTGCACGATCTCAGTTGCCGGAAAGGGAAGACACTCCTGAAGGCTACGAAATATACAGACCACTTATTAAATGGACGGTAGAAGATGTATTCGCAATGCATGACAAGTACGGGATTGAACCTAATCCTCTATATAAATTAGGCATGGGACGTGTTGGGTGCATGCCATGTATCAACGTAGGAAAGATGGAACTGTTCGAGATTGCCCGGAGATTCCCAGAAGAGGTTGAGCGGATCGCCCAATGGGAGGAAATAGTGAAGATGGCTTCAAAGCTGAATGGAGCGTCCTTCCTGGCAAGCAATGAAGGTGAGCATATCTGGGACAAAGTGGATTGGTCTAAGACTGTACATGGCGGTAAACAGATCGATTTGTTCAAATCATTGGCATTCGATGATGTGCCAGTGTGCTCGAGTCAATACGGGCTATGTGAGTAGCCTATGAGCAAACAGGAAACGTACTTCCGAATCATTGATGATATATCGGAACGCCTGAAGCGGATCGCCAAGCAGTACAAAGAAACCGGAGACGCAGAGGCGATGCACTTGGGAATCATGCAAATTCTGTACGGACGAGGATACAAAGGATAACAGAGGAAGGGAATACCCTCCCTTCCCACCACACAATGAGGGTTTAGGCCCACCAAAGGAGAGATAACACACATGGCAAAGAAACGGAAAACACAGCGTGAGATCGGATTCATTCAAGGTATGGCATATGCTGCGGCGCTACAGGCAGATTGGGGTGCAGACGCTTACGATGTCATCAGTCAATCTGGCATTCCAACGGATCTTATTCGAAAATACGCTACTGATTGTGATGTTGAAAAGCTAAAAGATGTTTTGGAGAGCGTAGACTCTTGAGGCTCCGGCCTCTAACCAAGGAGGGATATACAGATGGCTGATCCTCTTATAACAACAGTTTGCAGATTTAAACTTTTCAAGCAGCCATACAAGATAGGCGACACTTATGAATCAAACGGTGAAACAAGGCTTGTATTGGGCATCGAGAACTTCGAATTGAACAGATACCACAATCAATTAAAGGTTCGGTACACATGCCAACGTCTGGACGTGCTTGACTTCGTAAGCAAGGGCAAGGCATACGGCGAACCGCATCAAGTGGAGATGGAAGCGACACTAAGGCATGACAAGTGGGACAAGGTTAGTGATCTGGATCTTGGAACAACAGTAAGCTGTCGTGGTGAGAGATACAAGATTCTGGAGTATACAGAAATCAGCCTAAAAGGGACGGACTTATATGTGAGCTTCTTGGCTCGGCAAATATATCCGGTGGATCGTAAGGAAGCGAAAGCGAAATTGATGGATGAACGCCGTAAGAAGTTGAAATTTGAAATCGTTTAGGGGAGGAAGAACAGTCATGAGTACAGATTATTGCAAACACATGGTGCCGATCATGAAAAACGATACTTGTCATATATGCAGCCTGGAGGCTGAACGGGATCTGCTCCGCAAGGAGATTGAAGAGGTTCGGCAAAGCAGCACCGAAGAAGCTGTGCAAGCCGATGCTTGGCATGAATTGTACCTGGGAGCTCAAAAGGAACTTGAAGAGGCGCGGAAGATACTCAGATGGTACGGAGACAACAGGAACTATGTACAGGCGCTTGGTCTTGGTGGAGATCCAACGGGAGGGTATTTCTGTTCGCCAATGGTGTTGACTGATCGTGGTGAACGAGCCCGGGCCTATTTGGGTCAGGAAGGAGAGGGGGAGCAGGCATGAGTTACGTACCAATTCAAGTTGTTGAAAATAGACAAGGAATAACGCCAGGTGTTTACCTGGCGACATATCAAGGGTCAGCAGATAACATGTCCTACGTATTAGAGCATGGTCCGAACCACGGAGAGGAAGCTTTTCACGCTAATGTAATTAGATTAAGTCCGCAAGGGTTTGTAAAAGCGATTAAGGAGAAGCAACAGGAGGAAATCAAACGCCTAGAATTAGAGGTTGACGACCTTCGCGCCCCTGTGAAGCTTCCGGGTGAAGTATATGATTCGTTTATCAACATCAAAAAAACATATCCCGAAACTGCATTCGCTAGGGTCATGGAGTACATCCACATCGATGCAGAGAATCATTGGGAGAAATTAAACGACGACTTTAACACCTTTGCTTATTGGGTTGATAGAAACAAATCTTTACTGGGTCGTATGATGACATACGGCTACGAACGCGGAGAATCAGCTAAAGAAAAATGGATTAAAAACATGATGGCTCTGCTGAACGATCCTCATATTGACCAAAAAGGATTCCTCAGCGGGATTTATGAGCAATACCAAGTGGCTGATATTCTCAAGAACTTGGAGGGCAACAAGGATGCGTAAAATTAAAGCACCACGTGCTTGGTATAAACCATTGGGTGTCATGGTGCAACCAGAGAATGTGGAAAGCATCAACTTTGAAACTAAGGTTATCGGCGTGTATATCGAGATGGACGGAAGAGGGTTTCACCGTCTGCGTCTGAGTGACTTCGAACTGATGTGGCCTACTGGTTTGAAGGATCGAACAGGCAAAGATGTTTATGAGGGTGATATTCTGCGCTACCCACCTAAAGACAAATGGGAAGAAACTAATTTTATTGGATACGAAGTCTTTTATCACGATAACAATTGTGCAACTAATCATGTTGGGTTCCAGATGAACAGGATGAGATTTTACGGTCATCTTAGTGGCGGTGAAATGAAGGCATGGATGTTGCCAAAGTACACTGAACAAATGGATGTATTCAGAAATATATACGATCAAAATGCTTGAAACTGATCTTAACTAATATACCAATATCGATTGGGAGGAATGGAGCAAATGAAAAGAGCAATGGTAACTATAGAGCAATTCGAAGGTGTCAAAACGCTGCTGAAGACTAAAACTCAAGCTGAAATCATGAACGAACATATTAAGTATGCTGGGCAAAAACATTGGAGCATAGACGGGCTGAACAGCTTGACCACGGATCAGATGGCCCTGCTGCTGTATAACCCAGATAAAGTGACGGTCGAACCCTCACTTGAAGATCATTTGAGGAATGAATACATTGGGGCAAAAAGCCAAGACTTTGCGGACGGCCTGTTAACGGCAGCTAAATTGTACGGGATCAATCCAAGCATATTCGAGGGACTGGTCGAATGGGTCCCGGAAGATCATGAACCGGCAGCAGATCCCGACCAGGAATAGAACACGGCCTTATTCTATTAATCTAATAAAACCAATTTGAGAGGGGAAACAACCCATGAATATCACAGTAAAAGCGCACTTCAACAAACAAACGAAGGATTCCAAGAAAGAGCTCGTTCAGTTTTATGTAACAGGTGAAGATGAGCGCCGTCCTGAACTGAACCAAATGACGCGAGAGGTTGTAATCCTGTCTATTGCTGGTCTGGACGGTATTGAGCTGACAGCAGAGTTTAAGAAATCTGCTAAGGACTCCAAGAAAACAATCCTTGAGTTTGAGGTTAAAGGCGACTCTTCAGCAGCGCAGACATTTGAGTTTTACAAGTTGGCTGGTACGGATGTTGAATTATCTATTACCGAATCACAAATGGACCTGGACGAATTCAGAGAGCAGCAAGCAGAGTACCGCGAAGGCGTTAAAGGGAAGATCAACTCTGACGGAACGGTTGACGTAGATCCGAACCAGGCTGAATTGCCACTGGACGAAAAGAAGGCTGCGGATGATATTATCGCAACCACTCAGGATGGCGAGGAAGTTACAATCTCAAACGATGATCTGCCATACTAAATAGTTTCACTCCCCGGCTCCGGTCGGGGAACCATCCTTACATTGAGGTGATACAAAGGTGGGTCAACAAAGCTTCTTACCGGAGATTGACCGTAAATTGACGCAAGCTGCCGTAGAGGCTGCACTGGAGAAATACAGGATATTCAAATACATGACATTCGAGGCACGGGAAGCAAGTACAACAGCAGGATATACTGAAAGGTTTCACGGTCCAACAAACCAGACAAGTGATCAAACTGCAAACGTTGCTATCCATAACGTAGACACTCCAGCTATGATGATTGCTTACTGCAATAGGATTGAAAGAATGGTCCGGAGGCTACCAAAGAAGGAACGCTTTTTAATGGAAGAAAGATATTTGACTGATGAGCATGATTACATCACGGACCAGAGAGTTTATCAAATTGAATTTGACCCACCGATTACGTGGCCTACCTATAAAAAAATTCGCTGGAAAGCTTTCTACAAGCTGGCACTGGACTTGAATATCATTGTCGAAAAGATCGAGAAGGAGGATGAGCTAAATGTCAAAGACGACGTATGTTAAAAAAGAAGAGTATCCGTCAGTTCTTGATGCTAAACATATTCAAAGCATATTGGGTATTGGAGAAAGACAGACATATGAATTGCTTAATTCAGGTCAGTTCCACACGGTAAGAATAGGCCGAATGATCAAGGTTTCCAAAGATGTATTCCTAAAATGGCTTGAGGGCTAAGTTGGTGCCGAAATTGGTGCCGCAGAACGGATAAATTAAGGAAACTAGCGGAGGAAGCGAACGAGATACGAACACGAAAAAAGCCCGTAGTGACGGGCTTAGGAGGACTTAGGAAGGTATGGGAAGAACACGCCGATATCTTGACAGGGTAGGGGTCAGTGGTTCGAGCCCACTACAGATCATAGAAAAAACCCTTGTATATCAAGGGTTTTTGCCTTTTATGGGTATTAAAATAAGCCATAATGTGTGGCGTGATACGAATTTGATACGAAAAGTGTTTTGATACGATTATTCGTATCAGCTTGTTGAGTAGAAAGAACGGCCAAATGTATCGGCAACATCCATTTGGATATCTGGACGAATATGTGCGTAATTATCAATCATTCTGGTATCTGACCATCCAAGTCTTTCCGCAATAGCTTGTGGAGTTTCACGGTTCTTGATTAGGAAAGTGACGTGAGTATGTCTCAGGTCGTGAAATCTAATTTTCGGTAAGTCTGGCTCAACTTCCAATCCAGCATCGCGTTTCTTTTGCAACTCTTCATTAATGGTATTGACGATCCGTTCAAAGCTTCTGTTCACATTACGTGGAGAGATCGGCTTGCCGGTTCTCGTGCAGAAGACCAAACCATTATCCTCGAACACATCCGCAAACTCCATCCGCTTTTCTTTAGCATGAGTTATGTGAGTCTGGAGAGACTTCATTGTTTCCTTATCCAATCTTATTGGTCGCACACCAGAAAGTGTTTTTGCTCCGAAATCAAATCCTTTGCCATCATGAGTAAGTATCTGTGTCACACTGATAATGCTGTTTTCTTTATCCACGTCTTTTTTACGCAAGCCCAGTATCTCTCCTTGGCGCATACCAGTTGTCAAAGCCAAGAGGAAGACGGTATACAACGGATCTCCCGCAGCTCCTTTTAAAAACTGTTGTGTTTGCTCCATAGTCCAAACCTGCATTTCCTTCTTTCTTGCTGTTGGCCGTTTAACTAACTCTGCTTGATTGTCTGATACTAGCCCCTCGGATCGAGCAGCCTTCAAAGAGTCTTTAATGATCCCATAGCATTTCTGAATGTTCTCGTCGGATAAAGACTTGTTATCATGAAGATAATGAAGCAGGTCTTTTATATGACGTGCTTTAATCTTGCCGAGTGTGTGACCAGAAAGGCCGACTTTTTTACCTTCTGCATTCTCTCTAATAGGTAGGATGTGGTTATTGACCAGGTTACTGTATACACCCCATGTTCCTTTTTTGATGTTCCTCTTTTTATCCTCAAGCCAGTCCTTCATAAAGTCTTGATACATTACCTTGGATTCCTTAACAAACTTACCCTCATTTATTTCGGTTTCAGCTTTAGCCATGGCTGCTTTCACTTCTTTTATAGTTTTAAACCCTCGACGCAGTAACTGCTTGTATTGACCGTTTTCATCTTTGTAATTTATCTTGAAATAATGAGTATCAGTTTTTTCGTCATAATAGAAGGGCAT